TTCCAAACCACTTTTCATACGACTTTCTGGACACCATTCCGGACAAAACTCGTCAGTAAAGTCGTTGTAGGGGCACGTGTTTAGATCTGCTGTCCGACAAGGTATTTGACATCATTCCCAATTTTGGACTTGGTAAAAGGTTTATCCATTGCTTAGGTGTATGCGCCTCTATCCTGTGGTTGATATAGCACCGATTTATAGTCTGAATATATCAACTGATAGCTTAGGTGGTAAAGCGTAGGGCGGTTAAGCAGAATAGTACAAGTTCGATCCCCCCATTGTATTTTATTTTTATGCATATAAATGTAGAACACATTTACTTATTCATCTACTGACGAATTAACTGATTACTTGACTCATTCATAAAGATTCACGAACATTTCTATGCCTCGAGTAAGGTTCGTAATCAGTAAAATCGTAAAGTGGGACTGGCGATGCATTCGCCGATGCATTATAGAGACGCATTGTTCTGGCACACGCAAGTCACGGCATGCAAAGATGGGATACATTTACCGATGCATTATCATGATACATTTCCCACCGTAGTAGAGCATTGTGGGCGGCTGCTAGCGGCCTGTGAGCTATGATTTCGGGAATGTGCTGGCCGTGGTGATGACCGTGCTGCTGGCTGCGGTGCTGGAGCAACGCCGTAGATTCGGCGGTGGTGTTGCGAGCAACGGGGTGGTACCGGGGACGTTGTGCAGGTGTAGACTGAGTGCTACGTATTGCCTTTTACTGGCAACGCAGCCGGCGTGGTGCTACGTGTTCCTTTTGCTGCATCAATGCCATAGAACTTCTTACGCCTTAGCAGGAGCAATGCCGTGGTGTGATCTCATGTTTCGGACTAGAGGATTGATGGATGGGGTTCAATTATTCATTCAAGGGCGCTATCATTATTGCAGTGGCGAGTGTGGGAATTTGTGAATTGATTGGGTTGGTGCGGGTTCACTCAGTCGGTAAGGTTCACTCAGTCGGTCAGGTTCACTCGGTCGGGGTGGGCTTGGCTTGAGTGATATTGTGTGATTGGCTGTAGCAAGACCGTTGAGTATGTTATCGTGTGCCTGATCAGCTCAGTGGGACGTGATAATATGGTGGGGGCTGTGGGTTATTTGGGTTCTTCTGGTCTCGTATTGGGAAATAATCGTGGGTGTGGGTGGGATTGATTTGCTAAGTTCACGGTCGGAGGTCTTGGCGCGAGTGATATTTTATGAGTATCGGTACGCATTTCACGGGCGGGCACAAAGAGCGACGGTGTCGAGTTCTATCCACTAGTTGGAGGTGTGGAGATGACAGGGTGGACTGATGTACCGTGCTGAGGATTGCGGCGTTGGGGCGTTGTGGGCAGCCACTGGCGGTCCTTTGTGGGCCTGTAGTTTCGGGAGTGCGCTGGCTGGACAACGGCATAGACTGTGCTACACCTTGCTTTTTGCTGGAGCGTCGACGCGGTAGATTGGGCGGTGGTGCTACGGGCAGGGGGGGGGTGATGTGGGGGACGTGGTGCAAGGATAATATCTTGGCGTCGATCATCATTACTTCCGAGTGATATTACGTGCACCAGTGACCACTTTAACAGGCGCTTCAGTGCCAAGAACCACTAAATTTAGAACATTTTGGATCATTTACTGTCGGATTTTAGGTGACCGTGACAGCTGTTGTCGATTTGCAATTACTCCTTAAAGGACACTATAGGAAGTAGCGGGGTTGATGTCAGAGGAGAGGTACAAGTAGCGGGGTTGATGGCAGCGGTACTGGTAGTGGGGTTGATGGCAAGCTTGACACAGAAGTATCAGAGTTATAGTGGGGTGGTGGTGGTGATAGCTGGGTGGTACTGAAGGTTGACGGACGGGGTATACTGAAAGCCGTGGAGGAACCTGTTGAACGTCGAGGTCTGTATGTGACTGTCGGGGTCTGTATTAGGACCGTCGGTGTCATGGTAGGGCCGGCGGAGGATGGTTGCGCCGGGTCGGGCGAATTGGGAATTGGACCACGTACTGGAACTATAGGGCGGAGGAGTCAGTCTTTTATATATATATTTGTCTCAAGTAGTCATGTACCTACTATCAATCAATTCAATCACTTCTCGATACGTTCAAAGGTGAGGATTCTCAATTATCTGTGTCGCCGCCCCAAAGCTACCAGCCACCGTACCATCAATGGGAATGATCGCTTGAGCATTTTGCCATTTTCAGAACCCTAGTTCATCTTCACCCAGTGCCCGTCACCACCCGCCACTGTGACCATCGTCTCATTCTTCTTGTTTCCCAAAACCGAAGCATCTAACCCTGTAATCACCAAAGCTCCGTGCATGCCTGTAGTCCGTCAACTCTCGTTGCGGGTGGACAACCTCTTCGCCTGTCGCTGCATTCGAGACAGGCGTTGTAAATATGGTTGTGATGGCGGCCATGGTAATGCTCTTTAGGCTGGACCGCCACTGGGTCAATTCAAGGCCGCTGATTCATGTGCTGGGTCCCGGCACCATGATTCAAACGAGTCACGTACGCAAACAGCTGGTCAAACACTGTAAGGAGCAATTGCATAGCGACAACATCTGTCATGGCCACCCAGAATACGACAGAAAATCGAAAATGTGCTTAATATAGTAATTCTTGCCGGTTCAGCGCCTGTCAAAATGATTGTCACAGTCGCACCAAGTATCACTCGCACATTATATTGTGATCGACACCAAAACTTTCTGTTTTTATTCAGTTGTCGCTTGCTCGGTTCGAAGTACCGGGTGTCGCGATAAATTTACTGTCGCTTTGAATTTGCTCCTTCTAGTAAATGTCTAATACCTGTCGAGAAAATGGTACTGGAAAGGATGGTGACCCCGGGCCTTAGTCGGCCCGTATCCCTAGGGTACAATTTCGAAATGGTAAATTATCAATAATACGAGGTGACCTACGCTACCCGCATTTGGGGATGAAATTGGCAAAGAATTGTAGGTCTAATTGGATGAACAATGGTAATATGGTGATTAATTATCCTATGGTATTAGTTGTATAAACATACTAACCCTCTATCTAAAAAAGAATACTCTACGAATTAGCGGGGGTTGAACCTATATCATTGTGGATGTATAATAGAAACTGCACCATCTAGGCCATGAGGGAAGATATTAGATATGTGTTCTATCAGTATATCAGGTAGGGTGCTGGCAGGGAAAGGGTAGTTTACCTTCCCCCTCGATAACCCTCCAAAGGATAGCCGGACACTTTGACAAGAAAATTCGCCAAGTCCCAAAACACCAGGCTGAACCTTATTTACCCCCTCAATAGGGAAAGATCCACCCTACAACTTATATTTCCGATAATTTACCACTAAAGAACAAAAGACTACCCCCCATATCTTATATTTCCGGTATATTATCACTAAAGAGCGAAAGATCACCCCCTACACCTTATACTTCCTGTAAATTACCACTAAAGAGCAAAAGACCACCCCCTACATCTTATATTTCCGGTAAACTACCGAAAACGTGCAAAGGAGTACGACTTTGCCTTACCGGGCCCATTACCACACTCCCAAATCGGATGAATTTGGCGCTTCACACTATAAAAACTGTACCGTAGGGGTATGATAAGGTCGAGCCTGAAACAATCCATCAACCAATCAATAAGAGCAAGCCTAACTCAATATTTGGCCCGGTCCGGTCCATTATTTTTCCCAGATTCCTCAAATTAAGTAAGTTACTAGGATAATCATATGACCTGAGATGCATGGTGGGTAGGTGTGTGAACTGCGAAATCGACAGTCGTTCACGGAGCGTGGACGAAAGCTGGGTGACGACGAATCAGGATTCTGAATAGACGCCTTCCCTGGCTACTCGGACACCCCCCTTCCTCGGAAGGTTAACGTAAAAAACCGTCCGAGGGAGGGGGGTGTCCGAGTAGCCAGGGAATACGTCTATTGCAGAAACATCCAAGCTGCCAAAGCAACCCCCTCCATTGATTCCTATTTATGCAATAATATATCCTTATTAGTCTTGACACGGTTTCCATCCTAACCCGTCAAGAACTGTACCCAATCATACTACAAAAGCTTTGTTATCGAAACGGTTTTAGAACCATGAATAACTGCAATATTTCCTTCGAGTTCAATCCAAAACCTACACTCGTTCACCGTCACTCGACAAATACCTTCTGTTGACGAACAGGGGAGCTTGAGCCAATATAAATGGGTAGAAACCAATAGTAACTAGTGGATTTTGGGGCTTTGCTGTTTCTTGCCATACTTTAAACCCCTTTTTGTCAACTGGCAGTATTCTTCGAGTGACGGTGAACTACTGTAATCCTCCGACTGACACACCCACCTCGTATCAGCCCATGGGCCATATTTTCTGTGAAGCCTCGTGTAAATCCCAAATAGTTTCGGCAAATAATCCAACGGCTTTTGACGACATAACGTCGGATTATTTACCGAAACCGTCCGGGAAATACAGGAAAAAACGTTCTCCCGAAGTGCAGTTCCATCTGCCTCGTATCCGTATGCATTTGGCCAATTTAAAGCCTACAGTCTACCTTTACCCCGCACCACATTAAGAGAATCCCAAATACAGAATGGTTTCTAACGAGAGCTAGGAATTGATGGCATTGTTTTCCTTTAATTCTTGTGCCACTCAAGAAACCATGTGGGCTCCGCAGAACGTTCTCGCATGTGTCTGCAGGCATACGCTCGTATCGAACATTTCCGATGGCTTTAGAAAACGCCTTGCAGATATTAGCTGCAATATACTTCCGTTCTCTAGAGCTGCTGGCCTTGGTTTCAAAGTAGAGTAGACGGTTCTTACATTATAGCTACCTAGAGTTCACAGAGGTCATTACCAGGAGGTTTATAAAAGGCCCCAACGCTCACACAGCTTAGCTAGGCACCGAACCCTCTACTCATCATCTCAATACATTCTTCGCATTACTTGAAAACCGACGCTACAAGTTTTCCCCCCTCACCATCGTTCCAGCTCTATTCATCTTTCTTCTAGAAAGAACCTGATCTTCACTTCAACTATGCATCCTTCCAGTCTTCTATTCGCCATTGCACTGGCGTGCACCGCCGTGCTCACCCAAGCATCTGCGCTACCCGCCGAAGACATTGCCCTCACACCTCGCGATGCTTCACCCTTGGCAGACGAGCTCGACAAGCGTCAATGCACCCCGGGTTGTAATTGTTACGTGGGGACCCCACAGGGTCAGTATTGCGGCTCCTGCGGCACCGTCATCGGCTGCACCAGTAGCTCAAATCGGTGCTGGACGGACGTTTACGAGTGCAATCCGCGAGGGGGATGTTGTCGTTATGGTCATAGGAATAGTTGTCCGGGGGGCCCTTGTGGTCCGTGAGCCTTCATTTAACGGCTAGGGTGGATCTGTGAAACTGGGAGTGGTATGCTTTTCTTATGTTTCATGAGTCTGGGATTGATTGATTGATTATTTCATTAAGTACGCGCATCATGAGGTTGTTGAACCTCAGAGTCTTGATTCTCTCTTACCAATTGTGGGGTGGAGCTGTCGGGGAAAATGTCTTTCTTTATCACAATTTGCTTATTCTATTGCTCAATCGGTGTACCTTACTCCCGAATGAATCGGAACTTGAAGTAAATGTCGAGCAATTGTGTGGTAAATATGTTTTCACGAGTCCAGAGATCATGATCATGACGTCCAACATTTCGCCAGGTTTATGCCTTGCACGGTCAGGCGGAGTGTATAACAATGCCAGCTACTAGCTACATATAGCAGTTGTGCTTCTTTGAACCCATATATGCTCACACGGGGTTTGCTCATCACTTGCGAGGGAGGTTGGGATGAGCTGTACCAGCAACCTGATCTCGTACTACGGTATCCAGAGTAACAGAGTCGCACGTGGCTGTGTACCATGAGCTGCTATTTTCCTGTTTTGCTGGTTGATGCGCATCGCCGTGCAGGTGTTCCACACACTGACCCTGGATACCGTACTCACCAAACGTTTTAAGTTTAGGACGGAGGTGGGTGGCGACCACGAGCCACGCCAAATATCCGTCCTATACTTAAAGCTTTGGTAAGTAGTACAGCTCAGAACACTATTGTACCTACTCTGCGGCTAGTAGCTGTCATTTCGATTGGGCCTGACCATACAAGAGATATCAAAGAGATAATTGAATCTAATTACCCTTCGTCTGTTCCCAATTCACGGCTTATTAGCGTGGAGATATTCAACAGCTGTTATTGGGGCTGTAGTGCTGCCAAAAGAAGTACAATAGAATTTGTCCCAAAAGATATCGAACAAATCTACTGAAGGACGGGTGACAGACGTGACTTTCGCCACCAATAACATAGGGTTAGGGATATTTGAGCACGATTTGCAAGAAGGGATGGAGGGTCGTATTCCCATACAAATTTGGGTGCGTTATTTTCGTAGTCCAACAATAGCGTCGCATGTGATGTGGGGCTAAGCGCCCCAACCACATGCCATCCGAATCCACGATCATTATAATCCTAGCTTCACCTATATAATATATCATTCTCTAGCATAGAGATGAAAATAACTGAAACCTTCCGCACTCCCGCTTGATGAACTCCTCGCAACCATTGAGCTTCGCCCCCATGAACTATGAACTAGTGAAGAATAGTGGCTAGTGCTAACAATTTAGACTTTACTTTTGCGTAGCCGATAAGGCCCGGCTAAGATTAATTCGGTGTAAGGGAGAAGGTGTTTCCTAGGAGATTAGTACCGGTGGGGGGTGGGTGTATACTTGCAGATCTGTGGGATGGGGTTAAGCAATGAGCGTTTGAAGGGAAGGAAGGGAGGTAAAGGCATGATGTGAGTAGAGAACCCAGCAGCGTGTGATATTATCAATGAAGGAGTGTCTCTGGATTCGCAGAAGTCACTACATCATACCAAGATGGCTGTTTCGTCGGAACATATATCAAGTGATTACGTTGACGGGTCCAGCGCGTGTGTGTGACAAAGTGTTCAGCCATCCCCACCGGCCGTACGATCATTCTCTGGCTTTTGTCTCTATGGTACATCAGATGTTGAAGTTTGGGATTTTAGGTGCTAGCCTAGGAGAAACTCCATATCTCTGTTGCTTTCCAAATCGGGCATAGATATAGTAGTATAGACCAGTGGATTCGTATGCTCCTATATAGAATGCTTCATCCGGGGTGGCTATAAAGTAAACGCAAATGCTTTGCTGAGATTGTCATTTAATATCACTAGTTTTAGGCAGAAGCCTTTCCGTCGAGTGAAACCGCTATTCTGGTGAACTCATCCAAAAATAAGGTGGGTAATCACCATTTTCGGCACTAATTAGCCAGGTTGTATACTATGCGTTCATGAAGTCCTCGGACATGGTTGCAAAAATATAGTTGCAACGATATCCGACAACTTAATAGACTTTTTAAGCCAACAGAAAAGAAAGATCGGCAAATACAAAGATCAGAAGCCACTGTAATAGTATCAAAAGTACAACCGTTTACCTAATCACACCAACTTTGTATGGCTACAGTGGAGGATTGTTTTGTTGCAACGACGGTTAATTAAAATGTTGGAGTAACACACGCTTTCGTAATTACGTAATTAGGTGCAGTTGTACAGGCAATAGATTAAAATTTAGGCCCCCAACTTAGTTGAATTTTTGTATAATAGCCCTCCGTCCAGCCGAGCTTCTTATTACTTTCATCATCATAGTTCAGAATGTGCGAGATTTGTGGAACGTATGAAGTACAGTAAGATATCCACTCTTCCCAGATGATAAGCTAAACTGACATCTAAAGATATGACCAGAGCAGTACTGGCTCCAAGACGCAGGACTGCAAGTTCTGTGATCGGTTCTTGATTGAATCCCCGGGAACATTGTCTCGTTCACGGGATATTAGAGGTGTAGCTGAACATTTTGCTCAGTTAATCAATTTCGGTTTATCCAGTCCTAATACAAGTGATTAGACCTTCGCAACCGCGTTGCAATTGTTCTTATCCATCGCAAACGCCCCCTTGAAGCCTTGAATTTTTGCCTTAGCTCTCTGGACCGTGCCAGCCCAGCGTGTTCCTCTCATCCTAACTACAACCCCGACCTTGCCTTTCGAGGTTTACCTCTCCCGGCATCCCCAGTCCACCCAATACATAATTGCTAACGGTTTCCAGATCTCACTCATTACAAGAAATCCGACATCGATCCCAGTTCAGCACCGCCGCTCAACCTCCAGCCCTACAAGCACCCAGAGATCCTTTACACCCTCACTCTCGCCTCCTTCATTCTCTACGGCCCAAACAAATTCAGCCTCTTCTGTCTTCGGCGCGCTTACCACTCAAACCCATACATCTACCAGTCATTATCCACCGGGACACTCAATGTCCAGCGTCCCACGAACAAGGTGTATCAGGAGCTAACTTCCTACCTCGTTTACAGGCGAGTTTGGGATGTCCCGGGAGTAAAGGAGTGGCTAGTTGGGAGTGAGGAGGAGGCGAAGAGGAAGATGTGTGATGCCATGGAATGTGGAAAGGTTGAGGAGACAGTGGGCGCGCTGAGACTTTGTAACGGGTGCCGGGAGTGGTTATATTGCGGGACTGAGTGTCAGAAGAGGGATTGGAAGGAGGGTGGGCATAGGCAAGTGTGCAAAGAGGCTAAGATAGTGGCGATGAAGGAGAAGGAGATTGAAGATTTGTTGTGGGGCGCCACAGTGTAATCCGGTTTTGTGAATGGATGTAGCGAAACAAGGGGGGACAAATCATTAAAAGTTGTATATTCTGTTTTCTCTTAAACAATTCCGTCTAGTTGGTAATGCGTTTGTTCCGGATTACCAGTTTAGATTGCTAAGTCTAGTATGTGAGTGAATGGTTTCGGAATTTAGTAATCCGTCATGGGAGAGTTCAAAGAACCAGATATTTACAGTTATTCACGGGTACTCTCAATAAGCAGATAGAGTTTGGCAATGCAAAATACTGGGCCGTAGCTACGAAGAATTGCATAGATGGAAGTAAGAATATGCCTGCCATCGGCTGAGAGAGGACTAGCTAGGATGGAGAGGCTACTGAGGTAAAGATGATTATCTCATTGGGTGCACGTGTGCTGGATGTTAATTATGTAATTGTGAAGACGCCAAAGATATGGTGCACGGAGTCTAAAACCCACACCTCGGTCTCATACACGGTGCGAATCCCTAAGGCTTTTCACAATAACCCGAAGAATCAAAACAAAAGCTTTTTGATGGTGCTATAGCAAATTCTAGAGGACAATAGTTTTTCTTTTCAATAAAAGATGTGTCGCCCTGGAGGAGTAGGCTCGCCAAGAGTGATATTTTGAGTGGGAGGGAAATATGCAGAGATACACCTCACCACGACCCACTGAGACCTCGGCAAGATCAAATTTGGGGACTACGTCGACTTGCCGGAGTGTGTGTGGGAGCGAGACGCCACACCCGACGCCAACCGTTGCCTTGTGGCTTGGCGTACCGTTCCACACTCGCTTATCGGTACCTGAGGATGTCCCCTGATCGTTGGAGATCTCCTGTGTAGCCACATTATCTTGACAGCAGTGGCTGGAGACTGTGCAAGCCACTACTCTTAGCTGCTTTCGAAGATATCGCTAAAGACGTGATGTCCAAAGACTCTACCACGCGGGAAATGCATCAGTATTTGTATCATACGTACCGAATAATGCATCACAGTCTCTTTTTACAAAAAATACAGAAAAAGTCAGGTTTCACTAAGGTTCGAACCCAGAACTTAGGTTAATCCTGCATCTAACCACTATACCATGAATTCAACGTAATATCGCTTGTTTCGATGTATATCAAAACCCCATAAAATTACTATGTATACTACATAGTACATGAATTAGTAAATGTGTTTCTAGGGCTATTACGCTAGTCAAAGCGTCAGTTAATGTGTTCATCGTACAAATGGAGTATTAGAGTAGCAGTAAAATCATAGATTTAGAGCCCGTTCGGTTGTACCTAAATGTCGTGATATTTGGCCAAATAGGGAGAGGATCTTAACATATCTGGTAACGAATATTCCTTTTTGGGTCAAATATCACCATATTTGGGTGCAACCGAACGGGCCCTTATGCCTTTACACAGGCCTCGACAGTTACAGCAGTTTTCGTATTGCCTGTCCGCACTGAAGCAACACACATAAGGTGATTTCCGAGTTAGGAAGCCGTAATACTCTCTTAGGTACATGTATGGTTGAATGTAATCTAACTATTACTAGCAATAAGCATTGCCCAAAGGGGCCGTCACTTAATGTGTATGCGGTTCGGAGTCTGCAGACAATATGAAAACTGCTGAAATACATCAATTGATGCACTAACAAATAAGGTTCATATGTGCAGCCCTAACCCTGTCAAGCCCACTTACCAATTCCTACGGAGAATAGGGCAACGTAACCAGTTTTTGAATCCGGCGCGGAAGCGCATTATGGGTCATATTCTGCCGGAGACATCTTGATATTGATAGTTGTCTCTTAATGTCCTAGCGTATATTTATGACATCCCAAATACGTCGGTTTTGCGGTTGTTCGACCGTGTGGTTTTGTTTGTGAACTAAATAAAGACGACTCGCCTGATCACCGACACTAGGTATAAAGAGCACGTTCTGAGGAAGGGGTAAGTAACTCGGTGGGTGACTTCCGGATCCTCTTACTTGCTCTCCAGTTCCGTGTCCTGCTTACCTCTCGCTGAAGGTGAATCTACGACTACTTGGTGGCCACGAAGTAAAGCAGCAATCCCCTCCGCCTCTTGTACCACACCGTAAGGGAGATGTATCATGTTTAGAGGTTTGTGAACGCGAGATACAGCAATAAGCGCGGTGCTTCCGGGGCCTGCCCGTTTCAAAAGCTTCATGGATCTGCCCGACCCATTAAAGTACTGTAAGGAGTGAGCACATATCGCAGCCACTTGGCAATAAGCTCTCCAGACCATTCCAAATATTTTAGCCCTTGGCACTACCACTTCCTAAGGTTGTATTGTTCTCAGCTGGAGAGAATATCACTCGCAAATGATGGTGATCAATACCGAGACTTTCTGTCCTGATAAGATTATCACTTATTCGATTTCTTCTGTTACCCCACAATACATTTGCTCCTTAAAGCATCTCACGTTTAATCAATCACTATACCAAGAGTCCCAGCACTGAAAATTAGTGGGTGAAACATTAGTTGCGTTGCGTATAGAACCGTTCCTCCTGAGCGAGGTCTCTCTACAGTCTATAGAAATGAATCAGTTTATGCATCAATTTTACACACAAGCTTTTTGGTGTGATATGAATCGTAGGAAATGTGCTATCTCTCGGAAATGAATCAAATTTTGGTGTAGAAATGAATCATTAAACGAATCATAAGGTGCACTTCTTACTTTTATTTTCTATTTACCAATACCGGCCTCACGGGGTGCTTACCCGGTCAATCCTTTTTTCAACACTTTTTCTCATACTCTATTGCATACTATTGCGCTTGTGGCACTCTCTACCAGATATGTAAATGAATCAGGAAATGAATCAAAGCTTTGCTGTTTCAAATGCATCGGAAAGGTGCTAGTAAAGTCCTCGGGATTTTCCATCGAAATGAATCCAGTTTATATAGAGAAATGAATCAGGAAATAGGCTTTAGATGCAGATTCATACCTCGGAATATACATTATTTGATATCATACCCACTACCAACTATGAAAATAAACCAAAAATAGTTCGGGGTTGAACCTGGGGAACTGCGATTAGACAGTCCACATCTTATAACCTTCACTATCAATTGATATCCTGAGTCTTTTGGTTTATAAATTTGACGGCGTTGGAAAAGGTATAAGAAAGGCATGAAAGCTACGATTAGCAGAGTACATGTCCTCACCGGTATAGGTAGGCGAGCTCTATATAATACAAGAAAAAGGCATAAGGAAAGGCGCAAGGAAAGGCACAAGAAAGAACGCAAAGAAAGACATTTCTAGTATGTATTCTAGTACTATGGGCGAGAGTTGGTATGAGAAAGGGAACAAGAAAGGGAATAAGAAAAAACATCAGAAAAACATCAGAAAAGACATCAGAAAATACATTTTTGGTACCCGCGCAGCCCGAGGAAAGGCATTAAAAAAAAGCACTATCTACTTCATACTCGCAGCTTGAGAAAAGATTTAAAAAAGATATAGGAAAAGGGATTATGAAGACACTATTGGACGATGCCATGTGCTTGTACCTTTTCTTGTACCTTTTCCTGTGTCTTTTCTTGTGCCTTTATCTTGTCTTGTACAGAGCCCTTCTACCTGTACCGGTGAGTACCTTACTGGTTGTAGTAGTCTTTTATTACTGCCTTTTTAATGGCATTTCTGCTGTCTTTTTGATTTCCTTTGAGATTTTTTTTTTCAGGGCTGCGGGGGGATCCGGAATCGGCCTCTCCGATGTCATTTCTGATATCTTTTTTGATACCTTTTCTAATGCATTTTTCCGGTATGCGTGGGGACCAGAAAGGTCTTTTATGACCTCTTTTATTCTACTTGTTCTTCTGCTTATGCTAATGCCTTTTCTTATGCAAAATATTAAGTAGTATGCGGCGAAGCCCTAGAAATGAATCAAAAAAATAGATTTCCACTACGCGTCCTGTGGAAATGAATCAATTGATGCATTTTCAGAAAGGTTTTCTATGGGAAATGAATCACTTGATTCATTTCTATAGCTGATAGAGAGAGGAAAGCAATACAAAGACTTTTAAGACACCCGTCGCCTCCTTCTTTATGGATATGGCCTAAAATTAGCCTGTATAATCTTTCGGGTGTCTAGATAAAAGATGCATAATTTCAGGGGAGATGGGAAAGCTCTCGAGATTCTATATGTTTTGCTGGTTGCGTAAAAACATACTTGATGCGAGTACATGTTATATATATATGAACCCCAGTCTAAACAACAAATTACACACTGAACGACAATCCTAGACTAACTCGATCCCTTCTGAAAGGTTCAAACGAGCTGGGAACCTCCGGACCACGAACAATTCAACCTAGAAGCACGATTTCGCCTTGCAAGGTCTCTTGCAGAATGTGTCTTCTTTCTCCATCTAACCGGATGGTTCCATAAAGTCTTGCATAGCGGTAATGTTATTATATGTTGGGATGGAAATAGAGGACAAAGCTCGACGGAAACGAATACCCTTCACCTATATATACGTCGGTGGGTTTAACGCATCAAGAGTGGATGGGAAAGGTGAGATATCCGAAAAGGTTGAACTCGATACTCACCCGAAGCACGTGCACCAAGGCCCAATGAAAGAATGAGTGGACTATACTCGATCGACAATCCGATATATATAGCCTTGGGCTCTTATTGTTGGTTAGGGATGTTGCAGTGGATCGAAGAAAGTGGGGGTTTTAAGGCAAAGATGCATGATCCAACAAGATTTCTAGAGGACTTTTGAAGGGTCAGTCGAAAATTTAAATTTTATTATGGGACATGCCCACCAATGTGTAGTTATCTGGTAACTTCAGGGGCAGTTTGAAACACACGAACATGATTTTAATTCTTTAGAGGACGGCGAGAAATCGATATTGTTTTGGATCAAGGTTATCCTGGAGTTGACTAAGAGCTATATGTATCGAAGAGTAGTTAGGTAGATTGCCAAGAGACACGGCTTTGAAGGGCTCTACCTGTACATTTCATATCCAATTCATGCTCTTTGGAGGTTTATATAATTTATATACACATGCATGACCTTTTATGTAGTAATCAACGAGTTCATTAAAAACCTACATTACCGTCGAAATGCGGAAAAGAAAATACGCCTCCAGTAACGATTTACTACAAATAAGGCTTAAATAAGCGTTTTTTGGTAGATTTAGCATTATTTGGATTTAAAGCTCTATTTTTTCTAAGGGTCTTCCTAAAACAAGACTTGTATAAGCCCCATTTTACCTATATGCATTAAATTTAGATGATTATTATAAACCCTTATACCAGATCTCTCTTATTCATCAAACATGGTCTTTTGGTGAATAATGCTTATATAAGACTTAAAATTCAAATTTTGCTAGCATTTTATCGGCTATCTAGCCTGTATATGAGTTCCAGCACCGGAATTTTAGTTCTCCCATGGTTGAGTGGGTAGTATGAGGTATACGCTACCTGCAAGGCTCTGGGTTCAACTCCCCCTTTTTCTTCTTTCCACTATCATGGGCATAATTATTATTATAAAATAATTGTTTTTGTAGCTAATAATTATCCAATCCAAGAGCTTAATAAGCAATTATACAGGAAATAAGTGTTAACGTGTTTCACCGTGGAAGCGACCGTCACCGTGAAAATGACCTATCATTTTACCCTACAGATTTTAATGATTTCGAGGATCCGGAAGTGAGCAATCCGCCTGTACTCTTTCAACAATTCTAATTGACACTTCAACCCTTCGAATTGACACTTCAAGCCTGCAGGTGAACCTTTTGGGGCCGCTCTTTAACTCTTTGGACCCGCTGTCAAACCCTTTAAGACTGTACTTCGACCCTTTAGGACTGCTTGGAAGGCCTTCCAACCCCGTCTAGATGTTAGTAGAAATGGGTCATGGCCGGAAGGAATCACTTTGTGAGGTTGAGGATCGTGTCGCTGCAGCAATAACGAATTATAAAGCGTCCAATTTCAAAAATATACGAGATGCTGCTACTGCTTATGACCTTATCTACAGCAAACTACGGAATAGGTTGGCCGGCATAGAGGCAAAGGGAGCTGCACAGGTGGATCAGCAACTACTAACACCTTGGGAGGAGAAGGCGATTGTGAGGTGGATATTGCAGTTAGATGATTGGGGGTTCCCGCCTAGAATGAAATATGTAAAGGATATGGCCACTAGCTTTTTAGGTCCAAGAAAAAACCTCAACCTATAACTGCAGTCGATATAGGAAAGAATTGGACGACAGGTTTCTTAGCTATGCACCCCGGGCTTGACTCCAAATTTGCTGTAAGGCTTGATAAGCAGTGAGGCTATGCAAACAACCAGCGGTCTTGAAGGATTTCTTCAAAAAGGTAGGATCTGTCGATTATTAATCAAGCAAGTATCTAACACATATTATGATAGCTATTCTCCGTTATTACAAAATACAAAATCCTTCCGCACAATATATATAATATAGACGAAAAGGGGTTCTTGATGGGTTGATCGGCTAGTGTAAAGGTGATATGTAGAAGGGGGGAAAAAAAAAGTTTTCAAGATACACGATGGAGCTAGAGAGCTGATTACGTTAATTGAGACGATTTCTGCAGGAGGAGTATTACTACCGCCTTCGATTATTTTTAAAGGTGTCGCTATCTACAAAGGTTGGGTTGCATTGGTGGAAGAGGCCGATAAAGCATACTTTAGCGTCTCGACAACTGGGTAGTTAAATCAGCAATTAGGCTTACCATATTTGACTCAAAACTTTGAACCAAATACCCGTGAACTGTACGTTAATCCCCTTGTCACTCCTTACCCATATCATATTGATATCTAACTTTTATAAGTGCAAATGGCGGTGCCGATACATGATTGCTTATTCTGGATGGGCACACCTCTCACGTCACCTGGGAATTCTTCGATCATTGTCTAAATAATAACATCATTCCGCTGTACCTACCTGCTCATTCAACACATCTACTACGGCCACTCGATGTAGAAATATTTGGACCCCTTCAACGAAATTATTCCACTCTCTTGGATGATTTTCTAGAAGGTGGTGGAGCCGGTATCCATAAAGGAACATTCTACCCTTTGATAGTCAAGGCTAGGGAGCTTACATACACAAAAAAAAATGTCCTAACCGCGTTTGAAGTCAATGGAATACACCCTCACAACCCTCAACGGGTTTTGAACACATTGGAAACCATTCTCGGGTTTCAAAAAACCAAGCCTGTATCTAAAAAGACATTTTCTTCAGGTTCCCTACATCTTCCCAACACCCCTCAACACGGCAAAAGTCTTTTTTTCCATACTCGGAAGACACTATCTCTCTTTACCAACCGGACGCCAAAATCAGAATTTACAAAGGGAATGGTAGAGAAACTGGCCAATGAGGCAGCAACAGCAATGGCTGAGGTAGTGATTTTGAAGGAAAGAATAAAAACACTACAGGAAAAAGAGGCAAAGGCAGGAGATTTAGCAAAAATTAAAAGCCGTAAAGTCTTATCAAAAGCTCTCGTAGTTACTGTAGAGGATGTCCTCAAGTTACGGGGTGCGCAGTAGGAAAAAGAAAATCTGATCGCCGAGAAAAAAGCAAGAGCTGCCGAGAGGTCAGCCCTACGGAAGATCAAGGAGGAAGAGAAGCAACCCGCATCCTTAAACGCAACCACTGGAATGCGAAAAAGTAAAAGAACAAGGAATAAGATAGTAATACCTGTAATAAATGAAGAAAGTGAGTGTTCTGGGAGGATTCTGGGGAGGAACTACAAGCAGATAGACAGGAGGGGGAGAACCCGGGTTTGGAGGATACTATTTCAGTTTTAAAGATTTTGGGACTAGAGGAGGGCGCTGTTAGGAAGAGCTAGCGACCCCGGGCTTCTAGGAAGCGTTCATGATTTTTTTGGATTTTTTTTAAATTTTTACATATTTTTCTCCTATAACTATTTTCCCTCGAACTGTTGCACGATCATTGATCGTTTCCCCGGTGACGGTCGCTTCCACGGTGAAACACGTTATCCATCAATAATGATTAAATAACGATTATATAATAATTATTTAAGCCTTTACCAACGCTTATTTTTTTCCCCGTTTTAACGTTAAAGTATCTTCACGAGCACTGTGAATATTGAGATGTCGGATGTCGGCGACGTCAAATTATCTTGGACTTTCGGGTCTTTTGACAATGTCAGTTGGAATCTGTCCCATGTTTCACGTGTCCCATAGTTCTTTTGTCAGCGGTCAGGATTAGCGAAAACCTATTAGGCACTTTGGTATCTCTGGGTCCATGACCAGGCGTTCCCCCCTTCATTCACTCTCGTACTATCTCTGCACACATCTAGCAAGGAATCGATCGTTGCAATTGTTCGCTCTAATTCCGTTCGGAACAGCAAAAACAAAGAAAATCTCACAGCGCGCACAGTTTGTCCCAAAATCTTTACTTGTCAGAGATTTTATACCTTATCCAGTATTGTGTCAGCGTCAGGAGCACTATTCTCACGGGGGGGTAGTCAGAACGAAACCTTGTCCCAACCACAGTGCTCGTGACAGTATTCCAATTATCCCACAGGTGATTCGAGCTCCCCGGTCCCCTCGGCCAGACAGCAGCGGTTGACTTCGTGACACTCGGTCGCATGTTACCTCTTCGCAAATAAGACCTACTACATCCGTTCAGGACTCACCAGTAGTGTTATTCGGCGCTTGCATATCGTACCTCAGATACGTGGAAGATTTTGATTCTCAGCGGGCTCCGTCATGTCTTGTTTCATTTCAGTCGTGCCTTAAATTAGAAGCACGTTTGGGCCCTGGGTCCAGTTACCAGTGGGAGAGGGGTGTTGTTTTACGTCTAGTGCGTTCTGGGGAGATGGGCCTGCAAAGGCTGGTTGGTACCACGGCGCTATTGCTATTGAAGCCGTTGCATGATCGTAATAGGATGATGGGTCACGTATACGTATGTCAATAAGGTAGCTATAAATTTATAGATGAAGGATATAATAGTAGCGTGAAGATCTGATGCGTTATCCCGAATTAATCTTACCGCGTGAGGAGTCCAGTGATGCCTGAACAGGCTCAACCGAAACAACAGCAACCCCAGACCCGGGCTAACTAGCTTCTCCTCATGCAAACCAGGGACGAACCACAGCGTGAGGATTTCCGACAAGAGAGATTAGACCACCCTCGATCAAAACACAGTATGTAGCAGCCCGCAACCAGTGATGCACACAACACAAAACAAGACGAGACTTCCCTTGATCTCGTCTCGTCCTGCATCTGGGAAAACATGGTTTTGTGGTTAAAGAGAATTAGGGTAGGTATCGCGCAAAGTCTCGAGACCACAGCTCGAGATCTAGAGGCCTTGTAGTATACAGGATCAAATGAGAATCAATTAATGAATTAAACAAAAAAAAAAAAAAAAAAAAAGATCAAATGAGAATTAGGGTTAGGGTTTGCATGAACTCTTCAATTTATACACATATTAATGCATGTACCAGACACTCCGCCTGGAAAATCTTTTTCAACATCTTACGATGTTTTGGGACGTCTTGAGACTGTCTTGTTGAGAATGAGACAGGACCGGTCCTTGCGCTTGTCGTCCGACGTTGATCAGGCCTTTCGCTAAGAGATTTGGTCGGCGAGTGATGTCTCATGACTCGGAACGCGTGTCTTGGCGGCGCATATATAAGACAAGCGCAAAGGTTTATAAATCTACCCTTCACGGATAAGGATTGGCTGTAGGATACCCCTGGGTTTAATCTAACCCTAAGCTTATAATATTTTCTAGCCGGGTGCCGGATTGATTGACTTCATTGTGACCACGAACTCCACAATAAATGCCACTCGATCGAGCTCATATTAATATTGAGAACTATATGCATGTACATGTAGTTAAGTAGTACGTGCCTGTGTCTGCTGCCGCTGTCTACAACTCTCATAACACCAAATGAAAGAAGCGAGTAGCCCCAGACGGAAGAGGGTTAAGGCCTGTGCCTTCAGGTGCGGAAGTATTCAAGATGTGGAGTATTCGATAGCGTTCTCACCTGCCAGTACGTAGCTCACTCTTAATAGTTGTAAATATATATTTGAGGTTTATGTTTTAGAATAGCATCAAATCAATCAAGGCGGAAAATATTACAATGGTAAGGGTACGTAGATTAAATCCGGAGGTATTCTGCAGACAGGAGTCGGGTCCGTCGTTTGTGGTTTGATATTGGTAAGAACCGTCGACCCAGTTACCCAACATTGATGGTCGCTGCTGAATGAGATATGAAACATCTGTTAAGCGGGTGACTCTTCGTGTAATATAATCCGATAAAACAGGTGACTGATGGACAGGCATTCAAATCATACTTCCTGGTGGATAGATCGAACGCTCTTACAATTCGCGCGGTGAGAGAAGTTCTACATACCGATCCAGAGCTTATCTCCGACTGAGCTGGACCATATATTTCCAACTCCGGATTGGACGGGACCATAGAGAGAATCACCTGGACTGGACTAGTCCGACTATTTATAGACCGGTCCGACTATATAAACCGGCTGACTACTGAAATTTTTGAGCTATTACTATTTCTCTTATTGTCATAGATTAATATAAACAAAATATTCGGGAGTTTAATGTCAAAGTATTTAAGTTGGATCTGTTTAAACTATGTAGAGGATAGGTTTAATATAAATTAAGCATTTAGATGTTTAATATCAAAGATGGCAACTTAGATATATCTAAATTAACACATGTAGGGTTTATTATAATCTAAACAGCACATAGTTTAATTTAAATAAGTAGCTAGGATAAAAGTTTATGTTAAACAACTCCCAAAATAGTAAACAATGTTGAAAGCGTAGAGGTTTTTGATGAACTTTGATGAACGATCGTGTTGGACTTTTTCTCTGTGACAGAAGAAGGAAGAGAAGAGACAACCAGGCTTTTTAATGGGCTGGACCGGTCCATATTTGACCTTGGCCCGGCCCGGCCCAGCCCACCAAAGCTTGGGCCCGGACCGACTGGCCTATATACCATGAGGACCGGTCACGGAAATATAAATATATGGGCCCCCCAATGATATTCATCGAACTCGAGAGAGGAAAAAAGGTATTATAAAATTGTTGCATTCAGGATTTACCTCATAATGAGTGGAGAAATCCAGTCATAAACTAGCCCATATATTATTCCCCTTGACCGGTCCCAAAACCCATCCGGACCGGCCCAGCCCAGCAGAGAAAACTCCAAGCCCGGCCCACCGCCCGTATATTTGGACCGGTCCGGCCCGTATATGTGGCCGCCCATTAAAAAGCCTGGAGACAACGAGAGTAGAAGGAAAGATACAGTGCGAGCCATCCACTCCTGTCTCCCATCTCGCAGGGAAACACTACTGTAGCGCGCGAAGACGCTAATTTCAACAAATAACCCCAAGTTTAAAAGATTGCGAGGTTTATCTGGCCCCCTTTTTGATTAACTTGAGCAAGTTCCCACACAAATTCTGTACCATAGGGGGTAGGCCATCCAGTCCACTCTGTGCTATCCCAGGCCGCCACTTAGGCCCTTGACTTTAAGAGTACCGGGTGGATTAAATTGGTAACTACTTTTAATTAGTAATTATCGGACACTGAATGGATACATAAGGTAACGGTATGGAATTATGGTATACGGGGGGAGTGTGGCGTCTAGCCGTAAACAAGTTTAGTGAGAAAAATGAGGTGGGTTATGTAGTAATCTGAATTTGGTATATCATTGCCAATTCTTGTCACCGTTAGGCAGTCTGAACGCCAGGATTTCTCAAATTTATCAATCTAGATTACCCTATATCATTACAAGTGTAGTGCGACCTCCGGCCGCAATATGCATGTAGTGAGTAAATAGGATTCCAGAGTTCACTATAATTCTAATACAATGTTAGTCTTAGGTTGTCTACCTAGATTTGCTGAAGCCCGAGAGAGTGAAATAATACTGTCCAATCTATCTACGAAGTCAATTGTCTATGATATATACCAGTTCTTTCTTCTCAATAAAGAGCTTTAAATATGTATTAATATGTAGCTCACAAGAAGATATATGTGGTTTTACTCTCCTCGAGATAGTTCAAGGTTGATATATATAAGACTACCTGCTGTTTACCCGTTCTATATCAACTCCCCTTCCTTCCCGGGTATCGGGAGCAGTTCTTTGTGGTATATATGCAGACTATTCAACCAATCATAAATGTTCCTGACCACGCCGATGAAGACTATCCCTTAAAACCGTCAGGCCGAATTGCAACGAGACACTTAAACCCTTTATGGTAGTCGTGATATAAGTAGCGCTTGATCTTGAAATTCTGTTGCAACCTGTCACGCATGATGAAGACTACAACCTCAAGTCTCTAGGCGTTGATCCTATCATGTTTCCGAAAAGGGTTTAAGTCCCTCTGATTGTAATTCGGCCTGACGGTTTAAGGGATACTGTTTAGATCAAGGAAACAACGTAAATACATAAAAGATGGTTCATGCAATAGGTATACCATGATGACACATTAGACCTCCACGAAAAATACCCTGAAACTAAGAAATATTAAAAGAAAGGATATAAAAAGGTAAAGTACATGTAGTGTATAAAGAGAGAGATAAAAAAGAATAGTCGCGTCGCCTTAGTAGATAATGCCCATCATGAAGCGAAACTATGAGTTTACGGATTGTTTTTTTCTTTCAATTCATTTGCCGCTCCAGATCTCCATGGGATACAAAATGCGCCCCACCCGCACACCGATAACCACCGCTTTGCGGAGTCCACTCGAATCCGTTTATACAACTTCCCGACTGCTGAAGTATTTTTTGGAGTTTTTCTTTCTTCTGTCTTTCTTCCGATGTTTGATTAACCTTCGCATCTTTCTCAGCCTTGATGTCTTCCTGAAGCTGATTCCAGACATGATCTGGTACATCCTCCTCCCGAGGGATACCCTCAGGGTTGAGCGGTCTAAGACAGATAGCATTCGATAAAGGTTCAGAGGTGTTGTCTGCTTGTTCATGGGGATGCGCAAATTGGAGTTCCGGTGTGGTTTGGTTCAATTCCTCGGAGATTTCTGCTGAGACTGTTTCCTGATCGACTCCATGTGCTGCAGGGGCGGATTCGCAAAGTGGGGCGTTACACGTCGCCTGTTTGCTCTCTGGAGGGAAGCATATAGGCCGTCTTATGTCTGAGCCCTCTTCGACGCGCAGACTTCTCTGGTAAAGCATGCTTATCATTTTCTTCATGCAACTCTTGGCTTGATCTGGTGAAAGAACAGGTTGAGTTAGACAACCGGTGAGCGGTTCTTTGAAAGCATACCCTGCCATCTCCTTGGCTAGCGTTTTTATATCTCGAGCGTTGCTCCATGAGGGAAAAAGTGATAACATTCTCATAAGGCTCAGTATATTCTTATAGTCAACGCCATGTGGATGCTGGAGGAAGGGCACGAGGATATTTCTATCCTTTAGTTCCCGAGATAATAGAGCCAAACAAGCATCAGGCTTGATGTTTTCAAAGATGATTTCCTCAGGGAAAAGACCCGAGAGAGCAGGTCTGGCTGTCATGAGCCAGTTCATATCCTGGCTATATCCTGCTAGGATGACGACCATCTTTTGAGCGTACCTTGGATTTGTTAAACGGTTGATTAACACGTTAACCGCCTCCGTGGCGTATTGCCCCTCAATCAGATGGTAGGCCTCGTCTATAAATAAGACTTTACCAAGGGCTTTATCCAGATGCCCTCTCGTCTTGGGACCCGTGTGTCCCATGTATTGACCGATTAAATCTGAAGCAGAGCACTCAACCACTTCATCCGTGGATAGAAACCCCATATCGTAGAACACTTTTCCCATGTTTCGAGCAGTTGTTGTTTTCCCAGTACCTTGATAAAGTCAGTTTATATACAATCAAAATATGTTGAACGCCTTGCGATGGGATGCGTAACGAAGTATATCAGAATATGAAATGACTGTACTAACCTGGCGGGCCTTTGAATACGAAATTTGTGGGAATTTGCGTACGGGGATCAACATTAAAGATTCTCGCTGCAGATGCGAGGCTCTGGTATCCTTCTAGTTTACTGATGATGTGGTCATCCACCATTCCCTGAAGATTTTTTCGGCAATTCTCAACTGCGTTAGAACTACGTTGATAGTCCGGGTCGAAGTCCTCTGGGAGAAATTTGGCATCGTAAGCTCGTTTGTGCCGATCGGTCTCCTTCATCTGCCTGGCTTGGTAATTGAGCTTCGCTTTGGCAAGACAATTATCTACTTCTCCCGCGTTGCAAAAGTTCGGGCGAATTCTAGCTCTATCCAAGACCTCGAGGGCGACCTTCATAGCTTCATTTGTGGCACTTAGGTGTTGCTGCTCCATTTTCATCTTCAAGATCTCCTTCAACTGTAACAAATCGAAGTCTTGGAAAAGAAACGGGTCTTCTATGGCGAATCTTCGGGACAGCCCAGGATTGACATTGTGGAACATATCCTTGATTTTGTCTTCATAGCCAAGAATGAGTATGCATCGGTCATCTCCAGGGACGCTTTGAACTTCCGCAACGAGTGTATCGATTACGGCCATTTTGTAAGAGTCGCCTTTACTATCACTCTCGGCTCCACCGTGGTTCAACATGTAAGCCTCGTCAATGATCAAGACCTTTCCAGCTGTTGATGCTAGGATGGCTCTTGTTTTGGCCTCTGACTTTCCTAAGCACTGGCCGATGAAGTCCGATGGGTTTTTTATGACCACTAACCACACAAATATGTGAGTCACTTAACTTTTTCAACAGAGCTGTGTATTTTAATTTCAGGATGACTAACCTTCTCCGTTACTAAGAAGTCCCAATTCGGCCATAATCTGGCCATATAATTTGGCTACCGTAGTCTTGCCAGTTCCCGGTGACCCGAGGAAAACGCGATTAAGAGAGAAGTTAAGTGGACTCATTTCCTTGAGTTCTCGTAGGTAGTTTGTCGAAATAATTTCGATCATATTTCTAGTTGACTCCTTAACTTGTTGTAGTCCAACGAGACTTTCTAGCTTGATCCTAGCGCTACTTTTCTTCAAAACCTCAGTAGGCTCGGGTCCGATCAGATCTTCTTTAGTGAAACGGAAGTAATCCAGTGACTCAAGTGCACTGGAGTCGCAACTGGCTTCCTTAGCCAAACGCCTCGCCTGTCTCTCGGAGATCTTTGATAGCAGATTGTGAACAGAACGAGCGTTTCCAAATCCTTTAAATCCTCTGCCGTAACCAAGTCGACGGATAGCAATTCGCATAAACAAACCCTCCATACCGCCTGTGATCTTCATCTTTGAATTGTATTTTTTGTTGATACCGTCGCGTAGGATAGTCCAAAGCTCCATATCATCAAAATCGTCAAACTGTAGGGTATACGGAATGCGACTTAATAGCCCTGGGTTGTGTTCAAAAAAGGACTGCATCTCATTGTTATAACCAACGAATATAACCACCAACTTTCCAATATAGTTCTCCATCATTGTAAGGAGAATATCGAGAACCTGCCGTCCTCCGTTCGATGTGTGATCTGCTGTAAGTTGATAGGCTTCATCCACAAATAGGACTCCTCCCTTATGCCTCCTGTTTTTCATCATCTTCTTTATTTTTTTCTTGGCAATCTGAGGCCCTTGGTATGCTAACCTAGCCCCTGAGGTTTCCTTGACATAGTGGGATTCTATGATACCGCATGTATGTAGAAACCTTGCATAAATACGAGCAACGGTGGTTTTTCCTATGTCCGTCAGTTTATTAACAATCTGGTTTGGTTTGGGTCATACTGGATGTTTACCTGTCCCTGGGTTTCCTTGAAAAATTATATTGAATCGTTCCTTCTTGAGGTCAGTACCTTGGCGCTCGCAGGTTTCGACTTTAATTTTCATTGCTATAAATTGCCGCTTGACCTCCTCCAGGCCAACCATTTCCATCAACTCATCAATTTCACTGTTTTCGAATCCTTGTGCTTTAAGCCTATTCCACTCTTCCTGGGCAGGTGATGCCTTTCCTTTGAAACGGTTATTTGGATGAGGATCGATCTCGTCGGGATCCACCTCTGGTTTAGCGGTTGGGGACTTCACCTCATCGTTTATACTGATCATGAGTCCTCCAGCGGAAGTGAGATTCTGAAATATGTTTTCATCATGATGAGTAGTCAATGATTGCTCCTTTTCCGTAGTTATGTCTAACGTCTCACGAGCCTTGCTGTCTGAAGGCGGAGGTGAGTTCGGGGAAGTATCTTGGCTGGCATCGGGGACGCGAGTCGGGTCTTTGTTCGTATCGCTAGCCGGAGAAGCCATGTTGTTGGCGTTCGTATCCAAGGAAGCGGCTTCATTGAGGCTCAGCGCGTGGTTCGGAGCTTCGCTATGGTTGATAATTTCAGGAGATTCTTCGTTGAGATTCATCTTGTTGTTATTGGCGTCATCACTGCCGTCTCTGAGGTCCTGGTTTGCTTGGGTATCATGGGATAAGTCTTTGTTCTCTAAGGATTTATTGCGTTCTCCACTGATATCGTCGTGAAGCTCAATCGAGATAGGAGTTCTCTGAGGATCGTTTATAGAAGAGGCTTCAGGATGGCTTGGAGGTGCCGATGGTGGTTTCTGGCTTAATAAACTTGAGGTTGAACTTGAAGGTCCATGACCACTTGTATCAGAACAAGAGCTTTGAGGTCGATGTTCAGCTGTTGACGCGGAGCCAGAAGGCGAAGGTGTGCGTGAGCTTGACGACCCCGTGGCCTGCGCTGGATATACGCGAAGGAATTCTGAGGAGGATCCCCGGAAAGGTTTGCGGTTGGACATTTGAGGGGCGTTTCCGGAGTGAGCTTTTGGAGGGAGTTTCCGGGAGGGGCACTTGGGGATCTAGGAGCTTCGGGGGAACACTGTGATTTGTGTGAATTAAGCTTATTCGTGTTGAAATTGAATATACATGTAGCCTGCACAGGAATGGGGGAGGGAAATAAACCTTTTAATACTTCGACTCGAAGAGCTGATTGAACCTTGAATGACTGAGGCGATGAAACAACGCATGATATGATAGTGAACTCGATAACTCCAGCCTTCCCTCTACGTATTCACTACTACAACGTATCCACTGCAATGTCAATCCCGCTTTTCCCAATTGCATGTATATACATACTTGAAAGTCATAAGCTTCGCTGGGTAGCCTCTGCCACATGCATATGCATAACATCGATATATCAGACAACAGCACCTCGATTCAATGCGAACCAAGCGAGTGGGATATATGAAACATCTCTATTGTACTGTGGTTCCTCCGTGGGAGCCAGTCAAACTTGAAGCTTCAGCCTCAAGCTTGGATTTCATGAACTTCAAGACAGACTTTACCGCCTTGCACTTGGTATCTGATGTTTTGTGCGCAACACTGCCCAGCACTGCCCGGCATGCGCACTCACTATGTGTTACACTACCTATGGCCAATTAATTGCAGTAAATAATATAGTTTCAGCTGTGGGCAAGGAATAAATTACTAGCCTAGCTTTCGTATGTAGCGAATTTCCCAACATATATAATGATAGTGAAGTGTTGCTAATAATCTACATGTAGTTAATTCCCCAATAATGTGATCTGTAGGTGAAGAGGGTCGATGCATTGCATGGCCGTACTAATCGCTCCAGGATATAATGCTACCTATACGCGAGACTATATGTAATTTATCTTGTCATTTTCGAGAAGTTCGCAAAAGCCGCGCAAGGTGTTAACCAAAGAGTCTAACTACTCGGGATCCGCCATTTCCGCTCGAGTCAATTAGGCGGGAAAGCTCGTTTCATGAATGAATTCCTATTCGCCAATAAGCACAATATATGGGAACATTTAGCCATCCATGCGCTGTGTGGGTACGTACATACATACATGGTTTTCGATGAGTTTTGGTCGCCTGAGTGGTTACCAAAAACGTACGTGCGCACTGGTTAACTTTCTGGATATCTCTCACTATAGATACGCAGTATATATCAAGGAGTGATCATGATCAGGCAAGATACTGTAGCACTGATCTAGGTAGTTCACCCGAAGAAGCAATAAAGCGGCTTCTCTCACCCAATCGTCCTGGTCCCGATCTTCTAGAAAGGGAGAGTATTCGCATACATACATGTAGCAGATAGAACCAGAAAATGCAATATTTACTTTAGATATATATACTTTATTAGTTTCTATGGCAGAGTGACGCCGCTCCATACAAATAATCCTTGCTTTGTCACTTGGATTTTTTGGTTCGCACAACTGGATTGGGTTCCACAGAACAGGGAGCTTGAAGCCGGGGAGGGGGTACCGGTCTGTTCGATAATTATAAGACTTTAACAGACTTTCGATTGTGTTAGATATAGATTTTGCGCTAGCTACATGTAAAGCCCTTATTACTTCTTAGAGCAGCTATAGCTCAGCTCAATAGCTTCCTCCATAGATCCCCAAAGACTTGAGCCACAATACCGATGACAGTGAATCATAAATATTATCTGTGGGGTATTGATTTCAGGAATCCGATATACGTAGGCACCAGTATTGTTACTATTGTAGTCCCCAATGTTTTCAACGCCCTGCCTCGAGAGGATTCTAGAACGCAAGGTACGAGGGTCCACGAGGCAAACTACTGTATATGTACTTCCTGGTTGCCCCGGTCTGTTCGTTCATTTATACATATCTAGGTCATCTTGAATTCAGTGGGGCCAATAATTGGTGTTGCTAATAGAAACATTAGAGTCTCACTCTTCACCAGCAAGCCATGCCCAAGGCAATATGGGATAAACGAGGCAGAGATCGACGCCTAGTCCGAGGCAGTACTTGTCTCTGCCCGCTTCGAGCAGCCTCGTCGATCTACCCTTGCCAATATATATTACTATCCTAGTAGCGAATAGAGTATGACTCGAGCACGATTTACCAACATAGAAAATTTCCAAATCTCTGGGAATCCTGAACCGGCGCCTTTATCTGCATCACTCACTTGGATAAACTATTGGTTGTTTTTACCACGAGATGCATCATCAACAATTGAGCTGCAGGGGCGGTGCAGAGAATACCCTGCATACAGCTGAGGTTACGTCGACGTACCCCGCCGCCTAGCTTGCCTCGGCGCCTGGCTGCAAATTGTAAACGCATTAATGCTACTCTGACAGCGCCAACGTACATACATGTTTGTAGGTACATGTACTCGTTATTTCTTGACGTCTCCGGAATGAACCGGGTCTGCATATGGGCGAAAATCGCATATTTCGGTAGTATGCAGACCAGTCCAATCCGGGAATGCCAAAAAATAGTCGAACTCAGACGAATAAGTTTAATAAATATGTACCTACATGTAGCCACGCTTTAATTTGGGTACGTTGAGGGATTGAGGCTCAACGATACCCAGTTCAGTTCATGGAATTTGTTATATTATTTTCCTCACACTTTACGGTAGTACATTCATACCACTTTACGTGGCTGTGAGGGATTTCCTTCTCCTTTTCCTTTCCTTTTGCTTGTTGCTTTTGCTTTTTCTTGCCCCTCCCACTCCCCTCCTTTTCAATGGCTGCAGATCAGCGAGCTTTCTGTGCGCATGCGCACGTTATGGCGCATGCAGAGGCTACCTATGTAGATGCCTGACAAATCTACTCTACATACTCGGTTGCGGGTAGGGCACGTCACAGCGAATCCTGTGTCCCCACCACTCAAGCCCCACGCACATGTATGTGTAGTTATTTCTTTCTTTTTTGTCTTACTTTCTTTTCTTCTTCTTCTTCTTCTTCTTCTTCTTCTTCGACCTTCTATCATGATCACCATTATCATCACATTCTATCATTCGATGGTTCTAGTTTCATGAGCTTTTTTTCCGTGATTCACTAAGAACCAAAACCTATACTGAACTCCTCCTGGGCCGCTCCAAAATCTGCACACTATGCCATAGCCTACACGCTGCGCACACATGATAGCCGGATTGCTTTGACTTCAGTTTACCATTGAATCAGGCATATTCCGGCTGCGCTGGTAAAGAAAAGAAAACTCCGCACTCTACATGATTGTAATTACCAGCTCAGCTTAACTCTGACAGGAAATGAATACTAACTACTCGTTGATAGCTAGGGAGGCTGAAGCACATTACATGCACATCTAGGCATCGATACCACCTGTAGGTGCCTAGCGTGGCATATTATAATATCTACATATATTTACGCATGATATATGATCCCGCGTATATATATTCTAGTATGTACGTGCATATGGTTTCTAGATCTCCACATTCCGGGCCTGCCCAATACTATACCGATTATTACTGTTTTAACGTCCTCCATCTCCACGATCCAGAGATCAAGATATATTACTCCCATACACAGATCTATGGCATAGTTGGTTAAGGACCCCATTCAACCAAACATCTCCGATTTCTATTGATTAGAATACGCGTTAGTAATATGTATGCCTCAATTGATCATCTGGTTTGAATCCCACAACTAATGAGTTCAATAGTGTTGTTCAAACATGTACCTACATGGGCGCGACGACGTTCAGCAACATGGCTTTGAATATGTACAACGTGATCCTTACATTACTGGTGGCAATGCATACAGCGCGCCTTCAGCGACCGACTTGGTCTCAGCTATTTCCTCTGGGATAGCAGCCCTTGCAGCCTTGATCACACTCCTCACGGTATGGGCTGCAGCTATTCAGATAATCCAACGGCGTGAACTTTATCGTTTGGGCACTTCGAAGAAATCCCTCGGCCCATGGAAAGAAAAGGTTGTGGCGCAGTCATTCTCAAAAATGATGCAAACTAAAATCACAACACCGACCATTAGCTTGCCAAAATTGGTAAAAAGCAACTGGAACCCCCAGGGGATCGTTCTACATACTCATAAGTTTGGTCCAAGGAACCTCGCCGACGATGAGCAGCCAGTGGAAGCGAGTTGGGTCAACTTTCTCGATGTACTAACGATTAATCCCGCTGAATCCAGCTTGTATACGATGCAAGCTGAGCCCGAGTTGGTGAACGGCATTGTTCCGATGCGCTGGAAGGGAAGTGATCTGGTGGCAATCTGTTCGATGCTCTGTTTTCAATCGGTGCTCGAACAGGAAAAGGATGCACTTATCCACTTCAAACCAATGGCACTCCCCAGTCAATGGCACGGACCATTGGGCTGGATACAGTTCAGGGCCAGTTCTGATGGTTGCATTGCTGAGTACCGGAAGAGAACCCCAGCCTTCAAAGACATGTTGACTCCAGAATTACATCAGTATTATAGCAATTCCAAGTTCCGATCCCGACATGTCTGCCTTAAAACGAGAGCTTGGAATTCGATCAACGGTTGGTATCTTCCCAATGACAAACCCCTCTATATAGGAGGCAGCTCGGATTCTCGGCTCGACAACAAAAATTCGGATAAAAAGAAAACCTCAACAGATAAGATATGTGATCAAGTCATGGAAGGAGGTCTGGACGATAATGAAATTCGGAGGCTGCTATGGGGAAAGAAGAAGAATCACCCTGACGCTATACGTACCGCAGCGCCCCCGGAGTCTCAAGGAAAGAAGTCGTCATTGTTCTCCAAGCAGCTCGATGAATTTCTTGGTCTGAAGAGCAATTCTGCCAAGGGGAAGTTAGAGGTACTGACACCGTGTCCCGGGCTGCTATCCAAAGTTGTGCAGGGAGAATTGATAATCAGCCGAGGGCTGAACCCCAACGATTGCCGTGAACTTCATCGCACATATGTTGATCCGGACGACTGGGATAGAGAGGCCTATCCATACAAAATTGGCGATTTCCGTATGGCCGAGGCAGAGCTAATAGTCTTGAAAGAGGCCTATCTGCAACTGAAGCCCGATGGCTTCTACTGGTCGCCGTCGAAATGCCTCAGAAGCGACACCTATGAGCTTATGAAGCACATTGATCCTCTCTCGGACGATCGGGCATGTACGCACGTGATTTCGGAAGAGGTCCGCCAGCAATGGAAGGATTACATCGGAACACAATCCAGCGGCTCTCCCATTGCTCAATTATACTACGCCATGCTTCTTTGCGACAATCTCCAAAACATCAAAGTTAGCACTGTCGCACGTTATACCATTGCAGATATGGGCCTCATCTCCAAGGCTTCCGTGTCACTTCGTGGAATTGTCGGCAACCGTGCTCAAGATCTCATCTGGGCAATGATAGCGTCTCCCGAACTTGTTTCCGATTTGTTTCCTCTCTTCAAGACACTACAGGCGGAAGATGTCTGTAATGCTACCGTGAAATGTCAAGATGGTACTCTTGATTGCATGCTCCTGATGAAGCTTCCGGATTCACCACATGGTAGTGCCCGGGAGGCCAAATACAAAGTACCCCTACTGAAAGATGGAGAATTCTCCGGCATTCAGTTACTCGCAGCATTTTTCGACGTTTTTGTCACATATTTCTGGATCGAAGAATCAGTCATCACCAATGTCGCATTATACGATGCGACAATACCAAACAGTATTACGATGTGTTAGGCCATAAGGGAGGATGAGTCAAATTACCACGGGCGTTAGGCCGGAGGGGAGGATAGATCAAAGTATCACGATGTGTTAGGCTGTAGGGGAGGCTGAATCATGGTTCGGATAAGATGGGATGCTGTGTATTTCGTATAAGCTATGAGGATCGAGGATGGTGAGGCTTACATCTCAACAAACCCATGTTCTACACCCGTTCTCCCCGCAACGTTATGTTTAGTGTTATTTCTTAATTCATATATGATCACATCGAGGCATGAAACGAGATTCCTTCAGTGTAGATGGGGTCATCAGGTTTTAGTTCAGAGTTATGAACAAATCGGGGAAATGGTTGCTTTAGTGTTTGAATTCTTGATCTACTTCTTTAATTGTACATGTGCGCTGCATGTTTACCAGATCATGACTTGATCAAGACATGTAGAGTTTCCCATTTTAAACTCGCGTCCTAGTATACACTCACCTCACCGCAGAGCCTCTCTCACCCGCCTTGAAATCCTTGTTCTGCCATAATTCAAATGGGGATGTCTGCCGTGGGCGGGCCGGTGGGCGGGCGGGCGGCGATCGGGGATGACGTTGAGGTCCGTTGATCTAGGCTTGGCCTAAATAGTATTAGTATATATGTCCCCACGTCAGCGGACCCTTGCGCGCCCCAGTGCTGGGCCGGGCCGAAAGACACAACGTGAGATTAGCCAAATCCTGATGTGAGCTCATTCATGATCACATATATCGAATATATAATTCACAATTTTATTTATTTAGGAAGCTGCCGGCACCAGCCCCCATGTTGGCCCCCACGGAAATGAAGGGATACATCCAGCCTTATGCATACCTTGTTAGCGAGGTGTCTTCCATGATCTGGACACAACAACTCTCGTCCCCCAACAGCAGCCACAACAAAGCGAGCCAAAGGAGCCTGCAAACCTTTAGTATGTACAGCTAAACCCTGGCCGCGATCGATCTACGAAGACCTTAAGCGAATTCCAGGTGGGACGGTTTCGTGCTGCACGTCTGGTCTGGCACTAGGAGACTCCCGTCCGGTAATATATTGCCCGGTAAAGGTCCGGCTTGGCGCCCTTTTCGCTCGCGAATTAAGGTCGTTCGGCAAAGGCTACATTCGACAGGACATGTTTTTTTTCGGGTGGATTGGTCCTGAATTCTATGGTGCTTTATGTACAGATATGCCTGCGCCCGCCCCCCCCCCCCCCCGGGGCCCGCTTGCCCGCTTAAGTTGCCTATATTCCGGTGCTAGTTCGGGTGTGGATTTGCTGTCGAACCCAGCGATAATTTTGTACAGAATCAGGCGTTGATTTTGTATCGGTTAGATATCGATTCAGCGTCGATCAAGTGCAGAACCAGGCGCAGAATTAGTGTTGATTCAGAACGTCGGGATAGACGTGGATTTGGTGCGGGGGTCAGGCGTTGGTTCAGGCGTCGATATATTGGCGGTCTATATAATATATGTTCGTACAGGTACCAGGATCCGAAAACGAATGTATTCGAGGACATAGGTAGGTGGTTAGGTGTGTAAGGAGGACAGTGGGAGGACAGAGGGAAGAACGTGTCGAGGTTGATACGGAGGCGCGAACCCCCACCAAAGCAGGCAACAGGACATGTCACATTATAAGCGACCAAGACACACAAGAGGCATTTCAGCCAAGCAACGGCGTCTAAAAGAACACAGATTCACACAGGTCGCAGTTGGATGGGCTTGGCGCGGCCAGACGAGATATACGCCCCCGGCGAAGCTCAGCCATTTTCTGATACACGTGCACCTCGAGATAAGTGGATGACAGAAATGCCGGGTCTTGGGGGCCGGCAAGGACAAAGGCCAACCGGAGCACCTCGGGGGTTTCCTTAAACCTTGTCTTGAGCCCCCTCGTAGACTACACTGATATTTATTGTTGAAGTTGTGGTCCTGCAGTGATCATGTTGCATGTAGTTGGTGGTGGTCGGGCGGGGGAGGAGGTAGACGGTCGAATTGTGGGTGTGGTACTGGTGGTGGAAGAGCGGGTGAGATTCGGGATTTTTCGTAACAATGGCGGGGGGGTTAGTGGTCGTATTGGAGGTCGTCTTCGGAAAGATTGGTTGTGGCTGAGGTGGTATGGTACATGTAGTCCTTGTGTCCTTGTGGCGGTGGAGGTCGTGGTCGCGATTGATTGATGTCGAATCGATCGAGGGCGAGGCCGAGCTGAGCTGGTGTTTCGAGTGAGATTCTATGATTGCACACTGTTCTGGATTAATTGATTTAGTTAATGGGTACGTTGTATATCCAGCCTGGAATCTATGACAATTTGGCGGGGCAATGCTCGTGATGGTCGTAAACGTCGATGGCGGTATACGTAAGGTGCGGTTGATTGAGACTAAGGCGGTGGTGATGGGATCCGGACACCACTGTTGCATGCTGCGGAAGGCGGCCACGTGGATATTGTGCGCATGCTGCTGGCCGTGGAAGGGGTGGATGTGAACAAAGCGGACTCTGGTGGCGAGACACCACTACTGGTTGCCCTGCGCTCACGACATATGACAAGCATTGCAACCAAACTTCAACCCCAACCCCGCGATAGTCTGTCGGTCCAAGACTCAGAAATGAAGGAAGTAGGTACCGTGGGAATGGCGGGGACTGTATCATATATGTATGGAACAAAGACCTCCTATACTTGGCCCCATGTCACCTAAAGCTAGGAAAAGATGATATCGATAGCTAAATTAACACTATGTACAATATGCAGTTTGATCAAGGTCAATTGTTCCCTCACTATCTCTCCGTATAGGATGCCGATGTCCGACGTCTCTTTCTACTTATATAACCCTTGGTTCGATAAACCTTGGCCCGAGGGGCCTGCTGATGTATCAGGCCTCGTTGTAAGCTTCGTTTCGTTTCGCTTCGATTTTTCTTTTCGCCCCGGCGGGAGGGTGGTGAGTGGTGGAAGAGCTTAACGAATCAAAGAGCCATTTAGAGCTAGCAATATAAACGTTTGTGAAGTCAAGGGTCTCTGTGTCGACAATAAATGGATATAATACATGTGCTCCATCTACGAACTTTTCCCTTTCTCTAATGTCAATCTTTTTTTGCCTGTAATAAATCCTTAACATAATATACTCCATTCATAATATCCACGTACGGGGGTGCCTTTTAGCACTGATAGTAGCGAGTTTCATCCTTACGTATATCATGAAATCTTACCCTTGAATTACGAATATATATATATATCCGATTTACCAGCAACAAATGTCATCCTATTCCCCACCAACATTTCCACTATAGGAGTGCCAAATGACAAACAGATACGAAAAAGCGTAACATTTGGTATATTCACAGTCAGATTTTAGGGGTCTGGTAAAACATGATGACATTACGGCCACCTATCCCGCTAACGCCATCGCCGGTCCGGGCTAGGAATAATATATATACATGGCCACGTGCACAGAGACTTTTATATTACATCGCTCATATTACAGCTAAATCACGCTCGACATAGTACATGATACATCCAGCCATCATCTACGTACACAAGTAGCCGTGGCTTCTCTAGTTCGCTCCAAACGTCAAATTGGATCCGTCGGTAATAGCTACTGCTACGTGCAATTTATACGTAGGATTATTTATGAAAATCAAGATGATTTTATTAAGTTCTATCGTACAGTTTATTTATAATTGCTACCCCGTCGGTCATAGGTGGCCCGGTCGCCGCCTACAAGTATCTGCCAAGTGCCATCTAGGCGCGCCCGGCGGAGTCCACCTATGTCTGGCGGGGTAGGCTTAGTCATCGTGTCGTGTTTCACACTCTTCTATGAGGATACCACGTCGTGGGCGCAGCAGCTACACAAACTAGGTAGAGGGGGGAGACCAGATATTCCCGTATGCGTCTCACGGAAAATCGAACCCTAGACGTAGTGGGACCCGATGACCTGGAACCCCCTCTACCCCCTCTACCATTTGAAACACTCGTGTATGACATGATATGTCCGAGTGATATTTCATGATTCTGCGTGCTGCTAGTACTAGGGGATGGTTACGAGACTAGCATTTGACCCAGCGAATTCGGGAAATGTGGTCAGGTAGGTTGTTTGGCGGGCAGGCAGATAGATGGGAAGGTGGGTGGGTTGGCACATGTGGTGAGGTAGGTACATGGAGGTGGGTAGGTGGGCAGGCGTGCGAGCGTTAGGCGAATAACGATCGATGTGTACATTATATTTAATTCTAAATTATATAAATATATTCGTGAGAAATCTCCTATGCTAAGTTAGTGAAAATAGGCCTACCCGGGAAGTATTGAGTCTTACCCGATATAATGGTCAGATCAACAAAATCTAAGGTTTAGTGGAACCATACATGTAAGTTCGCAAAGGACCGAAAACCCAATATATTAATAGGGTCTTGTTATCAAAAAGGCCAACATTGGGCTTATAAGCCTTTAAACGGGCCTAGAAAAATACTCGTATTGACCTTAAGGTCTATATATATATCGAATTTAAAAGATCATTTCTGTAAATACATGTAGTAATAGAGAGGTTGCGCAACGAGATAAAATTTAATGAAATTAGGGATGAGACGGGATTGGAGAATGAAGGTCTATCCCTTCCTTCGTTTTCACACAGTGGGGCTTCAAGGACGACTGTGGCTCTTGTCAATGGCAAATAGCACCTCTGGCTATTGAGAAGTTCTTCCAGGCCTGTGAGATGTGCATTTAATGATGATCGTATGAGTCGCAACGTGACAATGGTTAAATACAAGTTAATCGTAACACCTGTGGCGAGCACCTTTACACTCCTAACTCTGCACCCCTCGAAGCTAGTGGCGTTTGTACCACCAATGAATGGACCGCGGGACTATTATGGGATAACGACAGTCGCCTGTAGCAATACTATTGCCCAGCTTGGTTAAAAGTCGAAAACCTTGAAAACAGCAGAAGGGATAGGAATTAAGCGCAAGGTCAAGAATAATTTACTCACTGGTGGTAGTAGCGAATAAAATGTTTGGGTACAACAATGTTCGTCGTTTAGTTTCATATTAACAATTGCAAGCGGAATATCATAATCTATTTAGTCGCGAATCCAAACAAAGCATTAGTAAAGCTATCATACTTAGTTTCCTTTTTTCGGGGGTTCAGGATTTTACTAACAGTTTAATTTGCCTGGCCTAACACATCGCAGTCGTAATACTGTTTGGTGGTGATAGATCCTCACGTAAATCATCGTTGGTGACAGTAGACTCTTTCATCCAGAGATATGTCACAAAGAGATTAAGAAATTCTGCGATGAGTTGGACGGCCGAATAGCTTCCATTGCCTTCCAAAAGAGGCGCTTCGTATTTCGACTGGTGTTGAGAGTTATCCTGTAAATCTGTGGGCTTTATCAGGAGTGTGCAATGAAGTACACCGGCGTTCTCTAAGTTGACGGTGGCGTTGAGAACATCTTCTGGTCCAGTTGTCCTTAGCGAGGAAAAAGATGCAATAACTGCCCGGATGAGTTCGAAATTCTGGGCATCATCCAAGTCGCCAGCCATTGCTCAAAGTGATATAGCGTCCTTGGAGATAACCACCATATCCGCAATGGTATATGCCGTATTAGTATAGGCCTTGTTGGTTTGTATACTATCGCAGAGAAGTATGCCGTAATAAAATCGAGTGAGGGGACTGTCGATACGTGATACAGTGTAATTGTCCCATTCCCCACATATTGGCCGAGCATCGGTCGGACTGTTTCATCGGCTCCAAAGCGTCCTTCCTCCATCTCTCTGGCGGCGACCAGTAGAAGCCGTCGGGTTTGAGCTCGAGAAATGCCTGTTTCAAAACCACCGGCTCTTCCTTAGCCATACAAAACGAACCAACCCTGTAGGGATATTCCACCCTATCCCAATCTTCCAGATCGATAATTTTGCGACCAAATTCACAGCAATCGCTAGGATCTAGCCCTTGCCCAGTATGATGCGGATACACATGTATCATTTTTGGAAACTTGAAGGGTGGTATTCGGGTGATTTATATGGGGAGCCATTTGAATCGGCTGACAGGTATTTACTGCGTGACATGGCATACCCTGCACCCGTAGAACCCAAAGCTCTAGCTACGGCAAGAGGTTAATAAATGGCAGTAGGACACTGCTCTCACGCTCGCGGGCGCCAACGATCCCAGCATGTGGGGGACACATGGCATGCGAGTGATATTTCATGATGATTATTAGCAAGCCCATCCCGGTTAGTTTATTAGCCCGTACGCTTGTATTACGTGGGGCAAAATCCCGTGTGGATGGAACAGGGTGTGGACGGAGGTGTACGGCTTCACAACAGACGCGTAATAGGTTAGGTAGGCCGTGAGACGGATAGAAGAACATGTGAGTTCTAGAAGCTGTGTTTGAGCTTATCTCTGGGTGGGGCTTGATTTGGGCGCCCAAGGGAGTAGATTAAGAGCGTATGAACCCGGGTATATCAAAACCACAGCTACATGTACTGGAGTAATTAATCCCCCAAACAACTCCGCGCCATTTCCCGAACAGATAGCAAAAAAGAAATGTCAGAAAAAAAAAAACCATAAACAATCACAAAACAAAAAAAGCGCAAAACGCAAATTCCCCCAGAACCCAAAAAAAAAAAAAAAAAAAAAAATCTAGAAACAAGTCCCGCGCAAACAATAAGAAAACCAAACTTTTCACCGAGTCTCTGGCACCGGTATCCCCTTCCACCCCCGGCCCCCCTCCTCCTTCATGACCAGCAGCTTCGTGCTACCGCAGTACCCCGCGCCTCCCATTGTTCTCTTCTCACCCCCCCATGGCATCCCCAAGATCTTCGCAAGGAGCCAGTGCGGTCCCCGGAAAAGTCTTTCGATGCGTTTAACGGTCGGGAGCCATCTGAAGGTGCTCTCGGAGTAGGCGACGCGGACGAACGGATTGATGAAGGTGCTGTTTGACGCGGCGATGTCGGCGTGGATGAGACAACATTCCGAGGCATCCCAGTACGGCGCCTTTTCGGACCGAAAGAGAACAGGCCGGTGGGGTGTGTTTTGAAGTGAGTCGGGGGTGGACGCTGAAGTCGGTTTGAGCTTCCTGTGCTTGTGATTGCCCTCTGCGCCATCCTGATTCTTCCCATCGTCCTTGTCTTCGTCTGTGTCATCGTCATCATCATCTTCGTCCTCTTCGCCCTCATCACCATCATCGTCGTCGTCGTCGTCGTCCTCATCATCATCCTCATCGTCCCTGGCCTCAACCGCACCATCATCCCTACCAGCGCCAACAAAGACTTTCGCATCAAAAGCCACAATGCCGCCCCAGCAGCTCTTCACCGGAACCGCATCGCTCCCCCTCTCCACAAATCCCCTACTCCCTCCTGGCGCAAAGAACGGAAAAAACGGCACTCCCGAATTCCAACCGTCAATGTCCCTCGTCGCAAAGGTATCGTAGAACTTCACCGGGTTTATAAAGTCCATCCCACACGCCGCTGTATACTCCCCTCCGTTCGTCGAGAAGAGCAGATGCAGCGCTTCCACAGGATCGAACACGACATCGTTCAGAAAGAGGACCCTACCATACGATTCCGGCTTCTCAACCCACTGCGGGGGCATCGCGGGCGCGTCCTTGGCATCTAGACCCACGGGATCGACCTCCCATTCGGAATCTCGTCGGTAAACGTGTTTTTTCTGACCCCAGCGTTTCATGGAGGGAATGTAGCCGATGAGGGGAAGCATGGCGCGGTTGCGGATCTCTGCGAGGTAGGTGATGCGTTTGATGTAGGTTTCTCCTGTGGGGAGCTTGACGCGGGGGATGGAGCTAAGAGCTAGGGTCGTAGAGACTATGGATCGTCCGGCGAGGGGCATGCGCGATGCGATTGTGGTATCGAGTGAATTGAGAGCAGCTTTTGTGAGCGGACCCGAATCATTCTCAAAAACGCCTTAGAAGGTCAGCGAGGGCGAGATGACTAGCCGGAGTGTAATTGATGTAAGAGCATTATGAATCGGGGGTGAATGTGATCAAATTTTTGCCAGAGAAGGGTAAAAAAGGACTAAATACTGACTTAAAAATACATTCTTCTCGCCAATCAGGTCCATCAACTCCATGACGGCATCCCCCCAGGCACCCGAAATCAATTCGGCATTGATGATATTCGCCGCGATGAATACCTTCACACCATCTGGGTTTCCCCGGCCAGAGATAGTCGCCTTGCCCTCCCCGTCGCCCCTCCAAAACCCTTTGGGGTTCCCTCCACCACCCTTGCGAACGGGACTCGTCACGGCTTTGTAGTTGCTCGGGTATTGATCGCGTGTATATGACGGATTGAAGATGAAGGTGAACATGAGCAAAGACAAGGACGCGGCGAAGATGATAAACCCAAACTGGAAGAAGCGATGTCGGATGCCCACCGAGCGCCGTATGAGGATTCGGAGGCGGCTGGCGCAAGAGGCGCACCACCGGGAAAGAGGTGATGGCGACGACGAGAAGGGGGGTTTGTGGGCACGGCTACCATTCCGGAGTAGGCGCGAGGAAGCTTCAAGATCGTCAAGATCGTCAAGATCGTCTAGTTCGTAGCCTGAGCTATCACTGTCGCTGGCCGGATCGTGATCATCGTGGCGGTTGGAGGGATTGCTGGGGGCGCTGGGAGCGGAAAGTGAACGAGGGCGCTTGAGAAGCTCATGGGACTCGGCTTGATCTGATCTTGAGGATGAAGACGAGGGAGAGGGCATGATAGTAGAAAGAGGGAGGAAATAGGAAGGGGGGGTTGGGGCGTTGGGGGGGAGAAGGAGGGGGGAGGGTGGACGGGAGGGTGGACGGGGTATCTGAGTACGGGTGAGTGGTGAGTGGTGAGTGGTGGTGGTGGTGGGTAACTACATGTATAGCACATGTAGTCGGCACCTGGCTGGATGGCTGGATGGCTGGTATGCACACACTGCCGAGACTTCCGAAAGACCCTGGGGTCGAAGTGGGCTAGAGACCTCAATACGCTCAACCGTCCAGTCTCGGGCTAGACGGGACTGAATCGTGCAGTCTACATGTACTTACCTTGCACCAGTCCACAGTCTGCCTGCGGTCTGACTACGGATTGCACAGTCAAAGAGAACTAAATTAACACCAGAATAGTACTATATTATATATATTCTTTCACCTTCATGAGGATGGAAATCTATTTGATTACCATAGACATCATAATAAACAACACCACTAAACTCTTTTCCCTTTGGACGGACTGGCTGACCGTCCACCGTCCACCGTCCACCGTCCACCGTCCTGGCTTGGCACAGTCGACTGCAGTCCTGGATCTGTTGAGCCGCACTTCTGGACGTTCCTTGGCATTCAAACAACTGTCGAGCCTTGAAGTCTTCAGCACACAAGTAGGGCGCTAGTTGGTAGAGGTTTCAAGTTCCTACTACAGAGGGTGGTAAAATTATTGCGAAAACAGGGGTAAGCGAGTGCGCTAAAAAAAGCCTAGCGAGTATCAAATTTTGAGTGGCGAGTGTGAATTTTCTACAGTATCTAACAAGAGTTCTAGCAACGAACACCCGGTTCCTCCAACGAACGCCTGCACCAACGATCACTCGGCCCTGTTCCAGCGACGAACACCCGTTCCAGCGACGAACACCCGTTCCAGCGACGAACACTTGTTCCCGACGACGAACACCTACCTTCAAGTTACCACCTGGTATGACCCCCATTGGCAGCAATGACTGCCTCTATCCACTCTGGCATATTGTTGATACACCTGATGATGTCCTCCTCAGTAATAAGATCCCATTCCTCAAGTATTGCCTCTCTAATCTCTGCTCTTCCTCTAGGTCTCGGTCTTCTATCATACAGGCGCATTTTGAGAATACTTCAGATATTCTCAATTGGATTGAGATCAGGAGATGAGGCAGGCCAATTAAGAGACGGCATTCCAAATTGATTTCTGATATTCTGTATATAATTAGGAAATGAATAACAGGAGAAAAAAAAATACTTACCTGAGTTGATATTGCTCTTTGGGCTGGTGTACCGTCCTCCATCAATCAGAGAGCCTGTCCATTTCTTTGACTCTCCTCGAGCCAAAAGGGTTGGAGCTGAGGGATTAAAATATGATTGCAGTAGGTGTTGGCGGTGATAAATCCCCAGTCATCTCTCTCCCATATAACAATAATCTTCTTATTTCATTTATCGATTAGTTAATACACTGGGTTACGAGGAGTTGGATTAGTCAGAAAAGTTCTATTGTGTTCTATCGGGTTCTGTCGGTCGTTAATGTATGAGTCACTTTGGATTTGTCATCGCTGGGATTTCCTTGGATATATTATAGGAGTTCGCCTTCATTTCTTGTTCCTTTTTCTTTCCTTTCTTTCTTTACGCAACATCTTCTGTACCTGCACTGTCTATTACTATACAATATTATTTCCCTCTTCTTTACTCAAGGAGACCACCGTTTGCTGTCCTTTTGTGCTGTTTACCCTTACCGATGCTAGAGTCCCTCAGAACACCTATTGCAAATTTCCACACCGACCTCTACTACCCCCTTCATACCCTGCGAAATACTCGCTACTCGCCCCCTTGAGAGCTTACCACCCTCTCCTAGAATAGCCCCCCATATCATAATTGAATCTTGCTTTGCAAATTTAGGGGCAATGCAATCATCAATCCACTCCTCCTCTCCTGTTCTTGTAACGTATAGCCTCCTAAAGGAACCTCCCAGCCATATATAGCACTCTTTTGTCCATACTACCTTTTTCCAGTCATCTGCAGTCCAGGTACGATGTTCCGGAGCAAATCTGAAACGCCTGTTTCTTTGGGTCTCTTTCAGAAAGGGCTTCTTTCGTGCCACAAGTCGATGATCCCTTCTTTAGCAAAAGCTTCACGGAGAGTTTTGGCAGATACCTGAATGCCAACCTCTTGGGCAATATCTGACAAAGGTTTCCTCCTAGATTCAGCAGTAGAAGTAGCTTCAAAAACCAACATATGACGGGTAGGTGTATCAATTATCAAATGACGGCCAAATCTCCCTTCTCTCTGTAGTGTAGCAGGTGAGTTGTAAATTCCATACACTATCGAGACTGCTAGGCCTTGATCATTAGCAATCCGCTGATATGTCTAACCTGAATGGCAAATAGCTTGGACATAACATCTCTTTTTGTAGCTGACATCCTCTGTACGAATAGACACCATAGTGAACAGCTGAGGAAATCGATAGAGGCAAGAAAAAAAATTTCACTCCGTGAACAATTGAGGTCCTCCACCTGCCAATCACAGCACTCACAACCTTCCGGCCCCACAGTACTCGCTAAACCCCTGTTTTAGCAATAGTTTTACCACCCTCTGTACATGTACATGCACCTAGCCTAGCCTAGCCTAGAGTACCTACATGTACTCTACTCTAGAGTGGGTAGGGGAATTTAGAGCTTGGACCTGCCATACGCGTTACATGTAAGTAGCATGCCATGCAGCATGAGCGTATCCCTTTTGTGAACGTTAGAAGCAGTTTAATTCCTCATACTACGCCGAACAAATGCATTAATCTGCTGTAGACGCTGTCCCTGATGCTTAGAAAAGGCCCCGGGGGAAGTTAACGTACGGTACCTACAGTAATCCTCAGATTATTGGCCGGTAGATACATATGTACATACATGTCCTACATATTACTGGATACAAGTACACCCACAGGAAAAAAGTGAGGAAACAACGAGTGCAACCAATCAGAACCCTAATGAAAAATTGAAAATGGAAACGAATAGAAGTAATATGACTACACAATAAGATACAGAATAGATACTACGGCCTCTGAACTATATTTACCACTTTTTATGACTTCCCTTGTTCTTTACTACTGCTGCAATTCTCTTTGGTATGCTGTCAATAATTTTAAATACATTTTCCCAATCTAGCCTTTCCCACTCTTCCCTAGCTTGGGCTTCAATAACTTTTATGTTTTCATTAAGAGTAGCCTCTCTTCACTTTCCGGACTTGTCAAAAGGCATGGCTAGGGAATACTCGTGAGGCTGTATTGCGGGTGTGGGAATGTCAAGTTAGACGCACTCATTGTCACGCTACTCATTGTTTCCTCACTTTTTTCCTGCGGGTGTACATGTATATATAAACTCCATCGGGCCATTTCAACCTCTCCAAGTTGCGAGGTCCATGCTGAAGTGCCTCGTTTCTCGCCTCTTGCGTGCTTAATTAGCGGGCGCGCTCGCAAGGGCAATAATTAGTCCTTGATCTCGGAGTGTCCCCGAATGAGTTTGCCTGATGGAAAGTACCCTACAATACACTTCCATACATGGATTTAAGATTCACTGTACACATGGTGGACTTGATAACCCATGGTTTAAGCTTGCTTCCCTTGAGCTTAATTAAAGAGCTGAGTTAGCCCCCCCATCCTCGAGATATATTTTTGTATATGCATTTGTATGTATGACTCCCCCAATGCGCACATCAAAGACACCATTGAGGAGATACGTATACAGTCATCTCAGGATGTCCAATACTATCGAGCCCCTCGCCGTAAACTGGCGACCTTTTACTCTTCGCACTCCATTCTTGTCCGCTTTCATCGTCCTATGCGTAATCTTACTCCTACTTGTCGAGCCCACGATCCGATCTTGCTTACCGCCCCAAGGGTGCCCAATAGTTGGGGAGCCCTCCCCCTCGACAGTGATATCAAATACTGCGGCTTTCGTGTACAACTATCTTTCCACAGCAATCACCAGCGTCCTCGGGCTCATATGGGCTGTTGTGCACCATGACTACATGCGTATGGAGCCATGGTTCCAGTTGAGCAAGGCAGAGGGTGCAGCGGCGGAGCCGTCTTTATGTCTCATGTACCCATACACATTTCCTCCGCTTGTAGCCATCAAGGCTGGCAAGGCACGGTATGTAGGCAGATCGAGAGCCCATCCACACACGTACACGCAATATGGAGCGTTTTATCACAAACTATAATTGCAGGCACTACACGGTCATGATTTCTTCAAGCGTTTTTCTATGTATTTCAATGTTTCTCACGCCAGTGACCTCTGGAATTCTCGAAGAAGCACCCCTAAACAAGCATACTACCCATGAGGCAAACTGGAAGCCATCCCGTGGATATTTTTGAAGGTTTGTAGGCGTTCAAATGTGGCCTGTAGACACCCCCAGGGGGTGTCTACAGATTTGTGGTGAGCCGTTTCTACGCAAGATCTGTAATTTATCTTCAAGGCTCCAGATTTGAACATCTTCAGAATATCCACGGGATGACTTCCACTATTCCCATATGCCATGGTTGGAGCCACAGATGACCGCGAGTCATGAGGAACTACCGTTGGGTTACGTATACGAGAGAAGTCCAAAGATCGTGAAGCAGTTTCAGCACGGAGAATACCACTCCCCTAGAAGCTTGAAAAACGAACTCCTAGGAAGTGGAAGCATCTATCATCTGCGCCACACAGAGGGGGAGGGCCCCTGGATTGATGTGGATGGGGATACTGTAGTGCAGTTGTCATCACCAGTGGAACAGGCCAGGCCACATGGAATACGCGAAGGCTGGCCCACGAGTTTGGTCTCTGGGCTCAGCTTCGAATTCGTCTTCCTCATCGTATCTGCTCTTCTGATTTCTATCTATATTTACGATCGTAAACACAATGGTATGTCCAAACAGAATCCCCAGAGATATATATATCCTGGTGTCGAGTTGATAATAATCATCCTCAGGAATTCCCACAATCTTTGCTCTCAACTCTCTCAACTACAAGATTCTCTTTTCCTACCTTCCGACCGTCCTGGGTCTTGTCATGGAACCCTTTCTCGTAACGCTTGGAAGCTATCATTGCATGTTTGGCCCATACAAGATGCTTCGCCGAGGAGCTAAAAGCCGTCGGACGCTCTGTCTTGATTTTGACAAGTCACCACCCCACTTTCAAATGGTCCGCTCCCTCAGGTCCAGGAACTTCACCCTGGCCGGCCTATCTTTCGCAATTCTTCTCTCAAACGTTTCCGGAAGTGCGTTGAGCGGTATGTTCTCTTCCAGTGCAGCGTATACCACCTACAATCTTCAAAGTCGTACGGAACACCCATACTTCTCGAAGGCTTCGCCGCAACGGATAACGAGATGTACTCCAGAATCTCCGCCGAGCTGATGGGCGGGCTTTCTATTCCAAGCTGGACAACTTCGGAGTACTACGTACTGCCAGTGAGCCTTGACTTCCCGGCGACGGCAGTCAATGTGTCTGTACCTACGTTGGGGCTCGGAGCATCTATTTCTTGCTCACTCATTCCGGATTTAACGGTGGCGCGTCAATGCATGCTGTCCGTTCAAGGAGAAGGTTACGGTAACCAGACGTGGGTATACGCAGGAGAAGTGCCCTGCAACGCGAGTGAAACTACGGAGTTCTGGAATTACGAGAGCGAAGACCCTTGCTGGCCAAAAGAGCGACCACTATGGAGTATATATGAAGGCATGCTCATGTCCCCTACATGTGCAGGCACATCGTTTGTTTTTTGGGGGCAGGAGGGAAAAGATGAAAACGTTGTGATGCGCTGTGAGATTAAGGAGAGCGTTGTGGAAATGATTGCGACGGTTGATTTGGAGGGCATGGTTCTTGCGGTTGAAGAAGTCGCCCAATTCACCCAAAGCGAGATTACCGCGCTTTACGCAGATAAAGTCGAAATAACCAATCCCTTCGCATACTACCAAAATTACTCAATGCAACCGATGGTTATTACGGCTATGCTGGAGGAGTAAGCAATCCGTGGATCGACTATCTCATGAGGACATCTTACCCATCGCTAAGCAATGATACTGATACTGGACTATTCGAGCTTCCAAACAAAACCTACATTGTTGAAGCCTTCGAGACTGTTTTCAAACAAGTATACTCCATGAACATTCGCTATCTAGAGTCCGATACGATCTCTGTTGTGCCCGGTTCATCTCGAGATGTCACTGCAACGGTCATTGCCGTTCGCGATGTCGTCACGGTCAGCACAATCATGTTTGGTCTTGCCATCGGTATACTACTCTATACAATCCTCCTTCTTCCAGTCATCTACCGGAGACATTCGTCCGCTATGCTCCCGCATCTGCCCGTGGATTTGGCGCAGACATGGACAGCGCTCTACAGAAGCGAAGCGAAATTTGACTGTGGAATGGTCCGAGGGAGTAACCCCAAGGAGCGTGCAAATCGACTAGGAGAACTGGGACATATCTATGAATATGGAACCTTTACTGATTCTGACGGTAAAGCATCGTATGGTGTCTTCCGCAAACGGACAGACAAGAATGATTAAAGGTGTCTTATTATGAATGATGGCGATGGAGATCGCTAGATTATAATGTATATATGAGTCAGTGTCATTTAGTTTTGGCGGAGTTTTGGATAGCTTAGTAGGTAACCACATGTATATACGCTTTGGGGAGCGAGAAAATGTAAATACGGAGTTTAAGGATACCCGATGGGAGTACTGTTTGCAGCACTTGTCAATGAGTGCATGGGAGGTTAAGGGGCTTTTATGCAGATATATGGACCTTTACGTCAAATTATTCCTTGTGGTGGATTATTCGTGGCGATTGTTCTATCCCAAACGATAAATGGAATACCGTGCTGATTTCCGTCGATTACGAGTGATACTCTATGAAGCTAGGTTTAACACGTCTTAAAAAGGTATTCGAGTTCTAGTAATCATTTATACCCTGTTAAACGTACAGGATGATGGGAGGCTATACCATGAATATTTTGAATTGACCCGTACTTCTCTCTGCGTAGGCTCTTGGCTCCCTTTAAAGTTAACACCTTTGCCACTTTAGAGAAATTCGCAGCCCGGCCGATCCCTTCCCTGCCCCCATCACTGAGAAACAACTCCATCAAACATGGGCTTAAACTCAGTATTTTACAAGTGGGTAGATATCTATTCAAACCCCTCGCGCATTTAGCGATGAGGTTAGGGAAGATTATGCCAGGAGTCGAAGGAGTGATGTGTTTAGACTGATATGATTCGATAAGCATGAGTGGGCAGTTTTTCTTTACTACCCGTGATGAATAACAAGAATAGTATCAAAATATGCCTTCCACTCTGCTTGGATCCAATCCGAGTGATCACCCATGAAACAAGATATTGCTCGTCGCCAACAGTCACTCGATACCGCCCCCGGATCAGGCTACCTAGTGTTTTTTTTTTTTTTTTTTTTTTTTTTGTTTAATTCATTAATTGGGCTACCTAGTTCGGCTCGTCGCGATGAACCGTGACATTTGCCGTGACATTCGCCTCATATACCTAGAGGCACAACCAAAGGCTTCGATAACCATCCTTCTTCCCCGCTTCTTCCTTGGTTTTTGAAACCAACCTCCTCTGTTTACGTGACAACCGTTCTCACACACCAAAAAACCCCACCGTTCCGGCTTCATGTGGGTCACCCACCTAATACTAAGGAAGGCCCTCTTCGAGGCAGTCGACCTTAGCTCGCTCGACAAGGTCATTGGCCTTCCAGAGCTCAACCGCACCCTCTCTGCTGAGGTCGAAATCGCAATCGGAAGCAGAGACCACCGTGATTCCAGTCAAATGATGACTCTCCTCTTGTTAGGAGCCATTCATCGAAACAAACAGCTCGCAGAAGCAGTCTCCAAGCTAGGAGACGACATCACCTCCCTGAGGGAGTCAATCGCAGCCCCCAAAGCTGCTCCCACCCCCTCAGACCCTCTCATCGTCCAAAAACTAGACACCCTCATCGGGAGAACCAGCCTCCCCCCTCCTACACCCCAGGCCCCCCACAGACCTACCCCGCCCGCCAAGCTTGCCCAACCGAGGGCAACCCCCATGTATGCACAAGTGGTTCGATCCACTCCCAACCCACCCAACCTGTAACGGAGCCATTTCAACTGTCTGGTGTATGAGTACACACAGGGCCCGGTTACATGCTGAGAGTTATTGTTAGAAGCCAGTTGCACGGTGATATGCAAGTACCGGCAGTGTGGTTAGCTACCAGCTGTTAGAGTAACTACATTCCGGGCGCTAGGAAGGGGATCTATTCATGGGAGCAAAGACTGACGAGTCTATGCCTCGCCAGTGACTAGAAGACCGGCCAGAGTGAAGCTCTGATTGCCCGGTGATCCTCTAGATCCTCTGAGCATTGTAAGTCCGCCGAAGGGCAAGGACTATGCTAGGGAAGTCTACAATAAGCAAAAGCTCTACAGCAATGATTAAGCTTACACCTGAGTGGCAGCTCATTCATGCAGGCCCTCGGTTGTGTGGCAACCAAGGCTGCAGGTGTTACAAAGGCTTTGACTAAGGGTGATTGCCTTGGGTATCGGAAACACCCGCTGACGCTTAGAGAAAAGCGGGGTAGCGGTGGTATTGGTTCCGGCACCGAGGAAAGGCTTCACTGGAACTTAGTAAGGGGGTTAGGAGCAGAGAATCGAGGCCTTCGGAGTATAAGTACTCAGGCTCATTCTCGCCCTTCAGTCCTGTTCTCTCCAGTCTTCATCAGAAAGAAAAACCAAGCTCTTATCGGTAGCAGAGCCCTTAAAGATTATTGAGTTCTAGCGATAGTATCTTTGAATAATCTGCAACCTGATAGTCTATCTTGCACGGCCGTCTCTATTCTATCCGATTCTATTTCTCTTAGAAAGGACCCCCGTTACACAACCCCCCCAGCAAGAAGGCAGCCAAGGCAGCCGCAGCCCCGGCCCCAGGATCCACCCTGAAAGCGAAGCCCCTACCGTCTGTCCACCGCCGCTTCTTCACCACCAGGACAACCCCCAGTCCCATCGCCAATGCCGAAAGGCTGTCGGCAACCCTCCCCCGCCTCTTCGGTCAAGCCCTGGCCCGAAGCCATCAAGTCACCCCCATCACCTCCCTCACCATCACCATCAACAACAGAGGCACAGTCTCTATTACCGCTCCCCCCACTGTCCCATCAACGGTCTACACACGCTTCTTCGAGGCCCTCACCACGATCCTAAACGTGGAGGTAGCGTCCCCAGAAAACCCCTTCATGTAACGGGGACTATGGGCGTAGGAACTATGAAGCCAAGGAATACAACCGAGGCGAAGACGTGGATGTAGGAGGTTCGTGGACTATGGACTATGGGGCCGAAGGGTACACCTAAGGCAAGAACGGGGACTGTGGACTATGAACTATGGATGGTTGTACCTGGTCTAGTATACCGGGTAAACCCTATAACGTAGCGCGAACAAAATAGTATTCGTGACTGTAAAGTACAGAGGTTGCATAAAGAGAAAAGGAAAAGAAAGAGAAACATAAAATCATAAGACAACACCCCTTTATATATCTACTCCTCACTCCAACGATGACTCATACTCCCGTATAACAGAAACAGAAAGAACATAATGGAAACCCGCTTTACTAAACCCAACCACAATACATAACCCTTCCCTATCATACCCCGACACCTCGCATAACCAAACTATGTGGCCGCCGTTACACTTCACCACCTTCCACCCCGCTCCCACCAACGTCGATCTCGCCATCCATGGCGTCCCCCTCTACGAGCTCTCCAACCAGGAATGCCTAGAGGAGATCCTGCCCTCCGCGCTTAAACTAGCCGTTGGCATCACCCCCTCTGCCGTCTGTTTCCTGAATACGGACGAAACCTCCCGCTCCTCCAAGGCCACCACCTCTGTCATCGTCTCCGTGACGGCGGAACGTCATGTGGCGAGCATCCTCCACCACACAATGCAGGAACTGCTGCAAACTCGGCCACGCCACCCAGGGATGCAGGTCCCCCATCGCCTGCTCCCTGTGTACCCTCCCCCACAAGCTTCAAGACCACCGCCGCCCAGTTGCCATGTGCAAAGGAGCATCGGCGCCTCTTGAAAACTGCTGCGAAATCTCTCCCGCCAAGTGCGTCAACTGCAACGGGACCCACCGCTCCTCCGCCCCAGCCTGCCCCAGCAGGAAACCCACCACTCCCCCGACCCCCCCCAACCCCCAGACCGCGATGGAAATCTCATAAAAACACCGCGCCACCCCACCACTACCTCCAGGAGACTAGATTCTCAGAGGCCCCACTAAGGATTTTCCCTCTCTCATATTTCTCTTTTGTCTTCGTAAGTCTTTTATAGGTGGAAAAACAGCCGGTCGGGGATATGTCTTTACGCCATAGTTTATACTTTATGCGATTCTTTGTACCTAGAAACAATAGAGCTTGATATAAAAAAAAAAAAAGGCTTCGATAACTAATCCAGTGATAGGCCACGTGCGGTGTACAATGACCTTGTGAAATCCACCTATTCCCCGACCCGAGGTAGCTAGCTCCATTACCGTATCAGAAGATCCATCGGAGATGACCGACCGACGTTTAATCTAATGGTCAGAAGTGTTGTGGGATATATTAACTCAGCACGAAAAGGGTAGAATTCTATATTAATCCCCTGTGAAGAATTTCCAAAGCGGTACTCACATGATGTGATGTCGATGACAACAACCCTCACAGTATACTAGTTAAGTGAAGAAATAAGATCATCCCTGTAAGTTAACTCAATGGCGACTAGGAGTATGTTTGTGTATCTGCCTTGAGCCTTGGCTTGACTGGGCCGTGTAAGCGTACAGTATCAGAAATGGGGGTAAAACTGATACCGCATCAGTGCGGCATTGCGAGAATATGCCGCTTTATCTCCGTATTTTGACGAAGTAAACGGTAGTGTTACCGCAGTGGTACGGCATTGCCAAAGACTGTGGTAGTCATTTTATCCATGTTTCTGCCACTGTAGTTAATCACTTGCAATTTGCGCTGGCAGAAATAAGGTTACGGGTCTTTTCGTCTACTCTGGGTCTCCGGGTACAGTAACTTATATCTAAAGTATATGTTAGCAAAAATAAATTCGAAAAAACCCATAAACTAACAGTGAAGTCTACATCATAGGTCACAACCCCACGGATTGTATCATATAGCATTAGTCTTGGTCATTCAATTGGCCATCCTCCCCCCCCCCCCCCTCTCTCTTCTCAGAAGTCGTTTCAATCATATGATCGAGAGAAATCGAGAGAAGAGTTTTACGCACTTCCCCCTAAAGATAATATCTATTATTCCAATCCCAAAACCGCGAAAGTCAACTGCACTGAAGAAATTCATCTATAGGCCTTATCAGAGTGCGCATAAGCTGTTCCTAAAAGAATTTGGCTCTCTTCCCGCGAATAAGCTCCACAAAGCTTGTTTAAAACAGGCCATTCGGCCGCCAAGAGAGTTAGTTGGGCTCTCCAATACTTTGATGTGGATTCTGCCTTTCCTAGACAGCTAGACCTCATCGAATACGGATGGTTCACGTGGTAGCTTTTTCTTCAGTTAGTCAGATGATGTTTTGTGCAAGCTCTCGTTACGGAAGTCGGTGTACTCTCACTATTTTGCGTGATTCATCTAGTATATACCAATGTGGATCTCTCAAGCTTTCGATGGGCGTGCCTTGCCAATCAATTGAGATAACTTGGTGATTCCTTGCGCGATAAATTTGAAATTTCCCTGCTCTTGTGAGCATATGTATCGACAATTGGCTAAGAACTGTGTCAGTCCATGAATCGTTTCCAAGCAACATCCCTATTAGTCTCATGTATTCGATCCATATTTGCCGGATTCGATTCCGTAGGCACTAGTTACGTAAAACCGTTTTTCAATACTAACCTCCTCGGTTCTTCAGGCTAGCTAGCCGGGGTACAAGGATTTTATATAAAGCCTTTCCCACTGGACCCCCGTTGTGTGCAATTGGCCACTCATCTGATCTTCAAGAAGCTACTCTGACTCCAGCGCCGCAGCACAGATCTTTCTACTCGAGTAGCGCATCACATAGATAAACTACAGTGGGGCACTACGTTGGCTAACGTTGAATTGACCATTTGCCAAATATATGCGGTTAGATTGTGGTTTAGTTGTAGGTATTTAGATATCATGTAGCATACCAGCGGCGGAACCCGCTCCACAACCGGACAGTCCTTTGAATGATTTTTGTTCGTGTCTCTGTCGGTTCCACGAGTGTGGTTCAAGATTTGAAATCTTTGCTCTCGCCGCTCATGTCGTTCGATATACCACTTTTGGCGGTTTTGTAATCGCATCTTATCGGCAGGTAGTTTGAGCCAAGCCCACGCTCGTATTAGAAACCCTGCAGCGTGTGTGCATAAGTTAATGGCGCATGGATAGCCTACATATGCGCGTTGCTGTCAAGCATTTCATCTGCACTAGTACCCAAACTGATAGAGTACTCATTCAGGGGACAAGTTTAAGCATAACAGGAGCCTAAACCTTCCAGATGACCAAAAGGTTAAATGGATGTAAGTGATGCTTTCGTTTCGCCATGGCCAGTTACAAGCACTTTCCCTGCGCCGCTTCTCGGTGAAGGGAGAGTACTCGTATTTTCCTGACGTTTGTAAAAGGAACCGCTATTGCATACCATACTAAATTGTGGACTTGGCACGTATTTGTATGGTATGCAATAGTGGTTCCTTTTACAAACGTCAGGAAGATACGAGTAGCGATATTGATGCATGCGATCGCTCGACTTAGAAGCACACATAGGATATTGCAATACATACATGTCCCACATAGGGAGATCTCCCAAAGTGAAGAAAAAAGTGCAATTTCAACACCCGACCCTGAACCAGCTAGCCAGCTAGGGGGGAGAGAGAGCAGCAGCAGCACCAACAGCAGGATTTCCCTACCTCTAACCACAGTGATCATCGTATATCACTCGACACACAGACGCTAGCCAGAGAAAACCGGCATACCTTCCCAACACGGATTGTAAGTTACTATCGACAGCCGCTTGTCTCGTGTTGCGACAGGTCAATTTCCTAAAGGGGGCGGCAGATGCCCCAAAAGGACCCTTGGACCCTGAAGTCTCAGATCGCGGGACAAGGATTGATTAACAGCGAGTCATTATCCAAATGCCCACCATCCCCCAATAGACCCGAGTTTGTTTGAAGGACCCTTGGAGAGATATCCGTGATCCTTGGCATCAGAGTGAGGAATATCATCTGAGCTTATTCACTTGGAGTATGTACTGATGTCGTAATCTACCCTTCGAGGCGCAACCTGATCGTGATGATCACCCCAGTAAAAACACTCCGACCGCCCTACCCGAAGTTTGGTGAGGATAATGCGCGTCGTAACGTATGCGTTAGAGGTTGTTGTTTCGGGTCTTTATGCTCTGCCCTAGCTAGCTAGAACTGCAGAATCAATTTTCCCTTCGTTTCCCTTTATCGATGTATTTTCGTGAGGGCGCACAAGGGCGCAGTAAAAAAGCCTTGACTTGAATATGTCCTAGTAGAAGCACATATATCATAGGTACATGTATAGGCGATTCGTATGCCCCCCCCCCCCCCCTTTTTTTTCATCATGTTGTATATGTGTTAAGCCCTTCCCCCCCCCCCCCCCCCCAAAGAGAAGTCCAAAGTATTGATATTGATCCCTTATCCTTTGTGTTGTCAATTCTGATTCCATTTTGAGTGCCTCATTCAATTGCTCAAAGTCCTATAATTATAAGATTATCCCAATTTCTGTCTCATTTAATTTTTCCGAGATCGTAGGCTGGAGAGACCGGAGAAAGGTTTACACCGTCGACAACATGGCCTCAGGAATGACTGTTAAACGGTATTTGCTTCTGGCATTTGTGGTTGTGGTGTCGACATATCTCCTTTTGTCTTTCATGCAAACACCCCCCTATCACGGACCCAGCATATGTGCGTTTCCCGACATGACGATATCAAAAAATCATGCAAACTCCCTCCCCCTTTCCCGCCCGCATGCCCTCACTAACACTTATCTTCCCATTCAGCTCTACCCGCCCGAGAATTGGATCATGCCTATATCCCCCGTCGAAAGCTCGATATCGTGATCGCCAGCTACCGCGAGGACCTGCATGAGCTCTCCACCCATCTCACAGCCATCTCACTCCTCCCCAACATTGCGTCTCTCGACGCCAACATCATCGTGTACACTAAAGACGCAAACGCCTCCGCCGACTCGATCCTCGACCACCTGGGCGCCGACCGCATCGTCCATCTCCCGAACCGTGGCCGCGAGGGCGGAACATATCTCACGCACATCATCGAGAACTGGGACGACCTTGCCGAGCACACTCTCTTCATCCAGGCCGAGATCCACAACTTTGGTCACTTCCAGCGGAGGCTGCTGGAGTATTTTGTGCCGGAAACAGGAATGCTGAGCTTGGGGTTTGGGGGCATCACGTGTAACCTGACTGACTGCACGGACCCGTGGAACTGGCACGACGATGCTGGGCATCTGCCAAGGATATATGAGGAGATTTATGATCGGCCCGCGCCTGCAGAGGCTTTGCTTTTGAGCTATAAGGGACAATTTATTGTCTCGGGGAAAAGGATACGGAGCCTCGATCGGTACTATTACGAGTATCTCCGCGAGATCTTGGAGAGCAGCAAGTCGGCCTACTCGGGGAAAGAATCTGGAACATCTGCAGGAAATGCGCCGAGGTTTGGATACACTCTTGAAAGGGCTTGGGGGTTGATTTTCGGATGTGCAGATGGAAGGATCGCGGCTGAATGTCCAGGTTACTGGCATCGTAAAGCTGGAGGTGAAGATGTGGGATCCTGTCAGTGCTTGGATTCTTGATGAGTGTATGAGGAAGGGGCGTATACCATGGCAGCAGCAGCCCATACAGACACTGAGCAAGAAGAGAAGAGCATGAGGAGCCATTGCTATCCTAATTATTTCCTTTGTTGATTATAGATGATGCATGCATGGCGTAGTATAGTCTAGATTCATTTGTGGCGTGGCGTTATGTAGGAGTTGGGGTATTTTTTTTTTTTTTTTGATTATATACTGTAATTATAATGTTCGGACGAAAAGAAGT